CCCATACCCGTATTCCACACAGGCACCTTGCTGTCCTTTCTCCCCCACCTTTGGTTCCATCAGTACTAAATCGCTTTGCTCTTTAACTGTACTCATATCACTCACCTCAAGAAGACCAAAATTTTCACATCACCCCTTAACCCTTAGATTTTAATCCTCTGACTGCTAAGGAATGGGGATTTCCTTTGAGAACATCCCCACTCCATCCCAACTCTTTGATATATTTTCACTATGTCCTCGTTTCCTCAAAGTCATCAACAGCAAAGTCTTTTATGTTGCCACGATTCTTGATCTGACACCTGGGATGGCCCTGAAACCCCACTTTCCATATGGCATTCTCAGGTGATGGCTATTTGTATCCCACCCCAACAGGTACTGAAGATGAAGTAGTGAACAGCTTGTTCCTCACTGATGCTTCAAGAGCATTTTTCTCTCTCTTTAAAGATTCACGGAGTTGAGTGTCACATCGTCAGTCCACACTCCCTACTACCTTTCCTGTAGCAGTCATAACACTCTTTGGGGACGCTTCCCTCAACCGCTCCAAAGATTTTTGAGCTCTTGACTTAGTATAACGCTTACTAACGTAACTTCCAAAATAATTCTTGGAAGTTACAACATATGCAGATAATCTTTCTAGAACCTTGGATTCTCAGTTCTTTGATCTCTACCCTCAAAGTTATTTTCTCCTACACTACATTGCTCATGTACTTCCATGGCACACTTCTGATCAATAACTGCACCCTCACCCTCAACATGATCTCCAGTTATCACCTTCATCCTTTTAGCTCACTCACCCTGAACTCCAATTTCAATACTCCCCTGACCCAGATTTTCAATCCATTGACCCGCCATATTTTCACTGTCCTTTCCTCCTCTCATACCCTGACTTCCTTCTTTATGTATGTTAGTGGTCAGTCATTACATTCATTCATTAGCCTGCAAATACATTCAACTCTCAAGGCTTTTTCTCAGTTTGTCACGAACCCATAGATTGAACATGACCCTAGTGAGAAACCATCCTCTATCCACAATGGACATTGCTAAGGAAAATTACAGCTATGCTCGGTGACTTATCTCATTTAAAATTGATTTTAGTGGATTCTTGAGCCTGCTATGCTGTCATCCTTTCTTCCCTTCTTTAACATCCAGCACCTGTAATCATATTACTCTGAGTTGCAATTTTTCTGTCTTTTTAACATTAAAACTAAAGTATTCAAAGAAATTATCCACCCAAACTATATCTACCCCTGTGCCCACTGTCTCTTTATTCTCACCTGCTCTAACACAAGATTTGTGTAGCCCTGGCTAAAACCAGGTCTTCTTGTGAACTAGCTCCCACCTCTTATCACCTGCTAAAGGGAACTGGTCAAGGATCTGTATGTACAATTATATAAATAGGTCCAAGGGATATATTTAAGTGAAAAAAAAGCTGATTTCAGATCTGGATGAGTCAATAAGTAGAAAAATATTCTAGGAAGAAGCAAAGTGGGCCAGCAGATGTCATCCTTAGTATATTCACTTATTTTTGTTATTATTGTTAAATGTATTTATTTGTTCCTATATCCATTCACTCATTTATTCATTCATCTATACATTTATTGAGCATTTAGTCTCTGCCAGGGATTATTTTAGCTCTGTGGATAAAGTAAGGAAGAAAGCAAATATAAAAAATGCTACTTTTAGTAGCTTTCAAGTACAGGAATAATAAACAACAAAAACAAATGAGATGGGGTATGGCAGCTGGCAGTTGAGTGCTGTGGAGAAATTAATGGAGGGCGAGGAGATAAGACAAGTTTTAAAAATTTATTTCCATTCTACTTATACCTCAGAATATTATCCTTTATACTCATATTTATGTCTTATAATGCTTATTGATTATCTTGTCATACTTCCCTAAAGCAACAAAGAATATAAAAGAATTTAAAATTATTTTTAAAATCTCTTGTGAATATGAGGGTTTTTAAACAATTTGGATTGCCTTATTAAATATATAATAAAACAATAAAATTCATTCCAAAATTTAATGAATATTAAACATAAAACCTAAGATGTTATTATAAAAATATCTCAAAGATATAATGTCATTTTTTTTTCAATTGATCGAGGCATCCTTGGATATATCCTGGTTTTTACTGAGATAGCTTTCAGCATCAACTCTATTTTAGCTTCTTGTCTTCATGAAGACATTTACCAAGAAAATATATTGACATAAATGTGTTGATAAGAAGAATGCAGAAGGTTTCGTTACAGTTATGTCATTCATTTCCTTGAGCCACAGCTGAATTAAAGTTTATATATGATTTCTCAGCTTTAAAACCTTCCTTAGCTCCCCATTTGTGTAATATGCATACAACTATGCACCCACACATGTATGTCCATACTATGTCACAACTTCTACTTAACAAAGGGCAAAGTTCTAGAAAGCCCTTAGCGCCAAAATGGAGTTTTTAACTTTTTCCATAAAGTTACAGTTAAATGAAGAAGACCATATTATATCCTGTGACTTGACAGGAAAAAAATAAGCTTGCATGTTAAACAACTCTTAGTGTTCATGAGAATGGTCCCTCTATTTCTCCTCTAACAGAATATTAAAGCAACAATTATCATCCCTAAAGAAATTTTCCAGCCATCAATTCCCATTATGTTTATAACAAATATCACTGAAGTATACTAAAAGAATATAACAATCACATTGTTTATTTTATTATTAGTCAAATATTTATTTGTTGCTGAATGTGTCCATGCTTCTACATGGAGAAAAAATATGAATTTAGTTTATATTCTGCTTCCAACTCATAACTTGCTGATAATGGATTTGACCTAAAGTAACAAATTCCCTATGTGTGACTTCAGCATCAGGCATGCCATACTATAGGATTTGAAAAAAAATACCTTTTAAAATCTAGAACAATGCTTTGATTTTATTTGAGACATGGTCCCAAGCTACTCTACTTCTATTTTCAGATTCACTGTGACACTATCTCTGTATTTTTCATGTTCTAGAAAACACTTGTGACTGTTTCCACCATTAAAAGAGGTGTTTCTTCTTCCAATATATATTGAGAGACTTAATTAATGGCTATGAAGCAATCAGTAAGTGGCAGATGAAAAGCACCATAGTAGGTAAGCAAGAAAAATTATGCAAGCATTGCACTATGTGTCATCTCAGCTGGCTTGGCTGACGAACTAGTCAGGTAATTGTCTCTTATTGTTGGACTAACTCTAGTGAAACAAGGTCTGCCACGGGACTGTTTTTCCAAAATACGGCATATACCTGGCAATGTATCTCAGTGAGACTTGTTTGCCAAAAAACTACTTTTTAACTTCAACTCAGGTGATTTCACAGGTGATCACAACTAAGTGAGCAAAGCAATAACTAAGGCATTACATTTATGCATAGTTTTCATGTATAGCTTACTTCCAGCATGTGCATGAGGGAGGGTAGGTAGGGTCTATCTCCAGGGTCAGTTCTAATCAAGTGGTTATGAGTGTCAGCAGGGCGATGATGAAAAGGATTCTGAGGCCACAGTTAGGGTCTTCAGAAAAGAAGGTCATGGGAGATGGGCTCTGACTTTTATGGCAGTGAAAGCAGAGAATTGTAGCAAAAGTGCCTTGTAATTTCTATGCTTAGTATGGGCCATAATTAAGGGTCACGTCAGAAAATGGTAATGTATTCATACACATATCCAGAAAAATTCCTCAGGGACACCCAATCCTGCCAAGTCATGTTCAGTTCCCTAAGTACAGACATAAAATATTTATTTCAGTTGAATTTTTTTCCCTCAGTAATCTGAAAATAACCAGTTGAATTCTATTAAGCCATTGCTTAGTAACCAGTCACTTTACTAAATTTAACTTGCTTTTCCTCTTACCAATGCAGATACAGCTTAAATATTCTTGGAGTGAACATTTTTGTAGGGGTTGGCTTCATTTATAATCAAGCTCTGAAAGGTCCTTTAGGCTTCATAAAATTAAAAACTATAGAATTACCTTGTTCTTTCCTGGGGCCAATTACCTGGGCAGATTCTTTGCATTCAACTTGAAGCTCCTGAACCTTAGCTAAAGTTTCGTTTTCTCTCTCAGCAATTGGAAACCTATCTCCCTGCACGACAGAAACTAAGCACGAACCTCAGGCATACTTAGCTGAACAGACTTTGGCGCCAGTCCCCAAATATTGATGTTCTGAATATCCCAGAAAGTGCAGTTTCACTCTTCTCCTTTTCATAAGCCGTGAAAGGAAGTGAAGGAAGTATGCCAGGTTGTTATTCAACTCTAGCATTTAATCAAGCATTACCTGGGCACTTCTGAAACTCTCCAGCTTCGAGATGGAGAGTAAAAGCAAAGAGAACACAGGGTGGAAACTACTTAATTGAGAAAGCTCCCAGGATTTCTCAGGATCATGTGGCCACTTGGAGACAGGCCCCAGTCACCCCTCAAACTTCTGCAAGTCAGCAAGAAATCCCATCCCAGTCCTGGTGATTACTTCGAACTTAAAGCTTACAGCTTTCTCAAGGGTCCCAATACACATCGATTCACCCTGTGTTAACTGTCACTTTCTATAAAACTGATTGCAGTGCACAGCAGGGAAGGCTACCCACTACTGACCCCACTACATTTTCTCCATTCAGGTTTTAAGTACACAAACAGAACGTTCCACGGTGGGAAGGAAAGACTTGTTTCTGAGTCAAGAGAACACATGTGGCCAGAAGACAGCGGCAGGTGCAGGGCGTGACTCATTTTGGTTCCTCACCTGCAAAGTGGGAACCCGGCATGTGTTAGAAATTCCTGATGCACCAGGAGTGTTACCAAAGTCTTTGTCCTTTTTTCACTTAGGACTAGAAATAAATGCCCTTTGTTTTGCACCGCTTAAGCCAACTAGCTGGCTCCAAAGTCAAAACAACCAACCTATGAAAGCTGGAGGGCTGGACTTATTTTTTTAAAGGCCTGAATGAGGTTGTATCTTCGTGCTGACAGCTGAGAAGCAGGTCAGTCAGGTTCTTGGGTTCTTCTATTACACAAGCAAGATACAGCCAGCTCCACCTAATTTTCTCCGCCACCCTCCTGCCTAGTGGGACATCGTCATACTTAACCTATCACTTTCTCTAATGCACAGCAGACTCATTTTGGCCGGGACAGCAGTGGTATTTCAGTTCCTGTTTGTAAACACCTCCTAGACCTAAAGGTAAGTGTGTGCTGGGTGCTGTGTTACACAGAATTCCTCCTCTCCCAACCCTGTGTCTGTTTGTCTGACCCTCTCTCTCTTTCATTGATTTCCCAAAGAGAATGAAAGTGGGCTCAACTGTTTGACAAAGAGTCTGGGAGGTAGCTACAAAGACCATTGTAAAGACAGGTAGTTATTTCATGAAATAACTACCTTCCAAATAAGTATATGCATTGTTAAGTGAGTTAACTTTAAGAATTATTGCCGGGTTTACTAGATAATGAAACCAACTGAAGAGCTAAAATAAAAACCTTCTTCAACATTCGTGACTCCAAGTAAGAGTTTCCTTAGATCACTTCTCAGTAAAAACATTTTAAGTGGAGATTCCAGCATGAATGTAAAGTGAATATTTAGATGTCAGTTATGCATTTTAGGTTTCAAGGTTGTTGTGAAAGTATTAGAACATGATAGTTTTAAAAAGCAATCTCTTTATATAATTAATTACATTCCCAAAGACTTTCTTTAAAAAATTTGGCAAAATGTGTGTATATAATACTTAGCATGATATGTGCACGTGTCCACCACTCACTGGAAATCTAAAGGCTACGTCAGTTTTACAGAAGACACCCCATGGAACAAATATAGTTTCTTGAAATTAATCTTGCTTTACTGTTCACCCACTTTCTGTTTGATCTATAGAGGCTGTTTCTACAGACTGTGACACTGGACAGAAGGCTGGAAAGCATGTGTTTGGGAATTTGGGTCCAGAATATTTCTTTCAGAGACAAGTCTGTCTTTCTAAGCATGACATTCTTTCACGTAATTATTTCAGTATTGAAGTTTATGACTAACAACGCCCAAGTTAGCTGGGCGTATGCCATTCTCTATATTTTTACTGGATTTTTGCATACCTCTCAGACTTTTAGTTAGAATGATGTTTACAAACTTTTGACAAAAAAATTTGCGGGGGCTGGGAGGAAAGCCACAGTTATCTTTCTTTTTTAAAAAATATATTTTATTGATTATGCTATTACGGTTGTCCCATTTTCCCCCCCTTTTCCCACTCTGCCCTGCACACTCCTTCCCACATTCCCCTCCTTTAGTTCATGTCCATGGGCTGTACATATTAAGTTCTTTGGCTCCTATATTTCCTTTACTATTCTTACCCTCCCCCTGTCTATTTTCTACCTACCATTTATGCTACTCATTCTCTGTACTTCCCCCCCCCTCCGCCCTTCCTCCCACTCCCCTGCTGATAACCCTCCATGTGATCTTCATTTCTGTGGTTCTGTTTCTGTTCTAGTTGTTTGCTTAGCTTGTTTTTGTTTTGGTTTGTTTTTTTTTTAAGCAAATAAAAGTAAAATAGTATGCCTATGATTCTCAGGTATAGTCCTATTTTATGATTAGTGGTCTCCTCACCCCTTCAAAACCCTCATAAAAGAAGCATTTATAGAGTGATAATTCCCTACATTCTCATTTATTGTGGCTCTTTCATTTAAGGGAAAGAAAACACTGCCCAAGATTGGAAAAGTCACTCATAGTAACACTCAAGGTCTGCCTCAGACATGGGCTACATGTCAGACTGAGTTTCCTATGACAAAGACAGACAAAACCTGTCTGTCTTACTTTGTGGTCTGAAATCTATAACAAGAAGCGATCAAAAGCAACTAAGACAGTAGCACAGTATACTCTTTAGTCGTTTTACTACAGGAACATGCATATTATCTCCTCAGTGTATCTACCTGAAGTAATGTTTTTATTTAAACCTTCTGGTTTTGATGGAGTTCAGAATGACTAGCATTTCTCTTCCCTTGCATGGGCTGATTTTCCTGACACAAAGAGATAATTTTCTTGTTTTTAAAGTTTGGTATAAAACAAGTATGACACAGTCAGAACACGGAAGCTGGGCAGAATAATGACTTCATGCATTTAAGGAGAAGCAAAATTATGTACAGAGATTGTGGATTTGCCTCCCATAAGGGCCAGTTTTGTTTCTCTCTCTCTCACCACCTTCTGTAGCCCTCCATACAAAAGTAGTAATGTGAAACCACTTTTTAGTACCAACACCAGAAAAAGGGAGAAAATGGTGTTCATTTTTCTCTGTGTAAAGGAATTATTTTAAAAAACAGTGAAACTCACACTCTCTGAAAGTATAGTTTGCAAGTTATTAAATATTAGAAATAATACAAACATCTCAGTATATACAGAAGTATTTAGAATCTGTGCTTAAGCTATCACAAAGTAGATGGACATTCTTTTTTTCTGTTCCCTTTATAATAATTCTAATCTAGGTTGTTTTTCAAGTTTGTAATGACCTCAGATTTGCTCCTATGTTACACCCTCAAAGTTTCTGTTGGGAGTTTCCATTGATGGGCAAGAAAAGGCAGAGAACAGGAGTGGGGGGAATGATACTACCTGGTTGGTTGTTCTGATTTCCTTTCCCAGTACAATTTCACTTTTCTCTTTCCTTTTGCCTGTCTCCCTCTATACTGCATCTGGTTGACAGATGAACTTGGGCACACACAAACACACCATCCATCATTCACCTTAACTTAGTTTACATAACAGTTCACAATATAGTTTAAGAATCTGATCTCTGGAGGTAGAGACGAGATGAGAAGAAAGTGCAAAGAGAGAGGATATATTGTTATTTCACTGCCCTCTGGAGCTTCTCTACCACTTCCATCAGCCTTTGCTGTTCATAATGTGCTTTATTCAATTCAGAATGGGATTGGACTTAACTAAAATTGCTTACTCTTTGCTCCAGCAAAACTCCAGAACAAAGGTGTGGAATAGGTAGTGGTTTCAAGACCTGGCTGCTTCTATCCTTTTAAGATGAAGGGACCTATGGAAGAGGTGTAACATGGTTCTCTTACAAGCCTGGGAACAGAAATGAAGTTGTCCTTGCTGCCACACCCAGACAGCAGGAATAAGTCTATGTTCACAACTGTATTAATTTAGGAATAAAATGCAAATAGTATTCATAGCATTCTGTCTCATCCCTCTCTGTCCCTTCTTTATAGGGTGTAACAGGATGTTTGGCTCATTTGGGGTATTAATACCTCAGGTTTTCACGTTGCAATCAAAAACTAGGTGAAGGGTAGAAAGATCCCTTTGGTGGTTCCATGTTACAGGCAAAGGGAAACAGGGACAACAAAACTCACTTTGTTGACTCTCGATAAGAGGGCTCTCATTATGGGAAGGGAACGAAAGCTCAAAGCCATGTTTCTCCTGTAACATTACGAGAAAGGTAGAAGAACAGCCAAGGGACGTTTTCTTACCCTCGGGTGACCACTTCATTAGAAAGGGAAAATAACCAGAGAGCTTAGGTAGAGGAAAACCAGATCAAGCTGCATAGTAACGATAAGACGGGTGACCAAGTGCAATTCATAAACTAATCAGATCACTGGCAGTAGATAATGACAAAGGCTATAATGTTTGCCACAAAACTGATAGAGTTCACAGGAGAAGGGTGCTTCTGAGAAGGTCCATGTGAGTATTTTTCAATGAAATGGAACTGCGTTTTAGATGTGCTAGGTGAGGCATCTGTTTAATGAAATGTAGGTCCTGGAGAAATCATTTGTGTTTTATTCACGTTAATCTGTAAACTACACCATAAAGGTGTTCATCTAGAATTCATAGAGACAATTGTTAAAATGCATTAAATTAGGATAAAATTGTATTTAATGCATTTGAAAGTTACTTAAGGTAGAACACCCAATTTTTCCAGTGTTTAAAAAATGAGGTTATAAGTTGCTATAATTAAAATAGAAAAATAATAAAATTTGTAGTTGTGCTAAGACAAGGCTGATGGGAAAAGTTCTAAACAGCAGTTGAGTACTAAATTCTGTATTCTTTTGTAATTTTTATTATATAGATGAGTATTTTTTGGCTTTATATGTAGGTTTAAAACTAACTCTATTTCTCTAGTTGTATGTTTCTAGGTAATGTGTTTATTAGGTTAATTTTTATGCCCCATTTTGTCATCTGTAAAATAGGATGAATAATCCCTTCCTCAGTATTTGATTATTTTTAGTAAGGATTGAATGAGAAAACCTGCAGAACATCTGATATAATAAATGCTTAATAGTAGTAATATGTTTTCCAGTTATGTTAACAATTTTTAGAACCTAAATTAATTTTTCTTGGTTATACCAAAAGTGCTCATTAAATATAAATAAATAGCATTATCAAAAATCCAAACACGTATGTAACCCATACCAGGTCAAGAAACAGAGTAGGGTGGACACAGAGAAGCCCTTCCCATGCCTACCCAACTGATACCATCTCTGGCCTCCCCATGAGTGACCACTTTCCTGACAGCTAACATTCTAGGTTTGTTTGTACCTGTTTTTGAACTTTATTTATATGGAATCACCAGGACAACTGGTATTTTAAGTTTGGCATTATAATTGTGATGATCACCTATATTTCTGTATGTAGTTGTCATTCATTAATGTCCACATATTAATCTTACACAATTTATTAACCAGTCTGTTACTGACAGGTGTTTAGATTGGGGACACTCATAAATAATGCTCCTGTGAATGTTCTCATACATCTGAACCTCAGTTTCTTCATCTGCAAAATGGGGGTGACAAGCTATTCTTTTGGTCTTAAGGGATCACTGTGATGGTCATGTGAGATGTTACTGTAAACTCTGTCAAGTGTAAGACACTCAAAGAAATATTATGTTTTAATAATAAGGAATGGAAGTTAATGTTTACTAACTGCTTACTTTAGGCCAGATATTGTTCAGAATAATTCTACTTAAATTATTTCTTTCAGTCTTCAGAACAACAGTGTGAAGTCAATATAGTTATGGTGATGACGATAAAACAATGGCTGGTTATGATTATTGTTTTTCATAGGTTATTTGTAAAAGAAGCCAGGATTTTAATATACATGTAATTTCAAAACCATTTCCCCCATATCCTGCTATCTACTGAATTAGTAGCACTTCGTAGTAGCGTAGAAGACACTTAACAAGAAAAATGATGTGCCTGGATTGGAGGTCAGGACTATGGTTCAAATCCCAACTCTGCCATTATCTAGCTGGGTAATTTATATCACTCTAAACCAGATGCTTCATTAATGCAGTAAGGAAATATAAATAAAGAGTATCCTAAAATCTAAAAGTCTTTCTGAATGAAGGGTATCATGAGAAGTATTTTGAAAAACGAATGTTAATTTCAAATTCAAATAACTCAAATTAGGTATAAAATCTTTTCAAGTTGGTTCACTGATTCACTTTAAAGTGGTACATTTACTGTATATTCAGTAACACAATTTTCATAATATTCAAAATTACATCTTTATAAATAACATGTTTTCCTTAAATAAGTTGAAGGAATCAGCCAGTTCTACATCTACATGCACTATATTTACAATATTTTAAAAAAATCATTTAGTTTATACACACACACACAAACAATATTTGAAATAGTGGAATAGTGGTGTCTGGCCTGAAAAAGTTTTTGCATGTAATTTTCTTAAAGGAAGAAAAAATATTATATGGAATACAGAACTCAGTTATTCTAATATTAGTACATAATTCAAAGAAAACAAATTTTTGGAATTAAGAGTATGGTATTATTATCTCAGCATTATGTCTCTAGATTTTATCACCTTAAAAGTGTAGATCTTTGTTTAATAATTCAAATGGTTGTTATTTTCCTCCAGATTTCCCTGAATAACACCAATACCAAAGAAAGCTATAATGTTGACCTCAACACAACTCCTGTTGATTCCAACCTTGTTTAGTGTTCTTCTATTTGCCATGGGAAATGAAGGTCTGGAAGCAAACACAACAGAAAACATTGCAGAAGACTTAAGAGATACAATAAAAGAACGTGTTCCTTTCACAAGTCAAGCAGATTTCAACTTAGATAAAGAAATGCAAGAAACCTCCAATCACAACGCAAGTAATTCCTCTCGTATGGATCCATCAAATGAAAGTCCTGAAACAACAGATTCCGGCGGTAATTTGACCACAGACTTTTCCTGGAGTCCAAGAACCACGCCCCTCGTTTCCGAAAGCTCTCCCTCGAGCCACAGCGTTGTTCCTAAATTACTTCAGAACTCATCAGTAACAGATGAAAATTCTCTGTCCCTCTCAGAGCCTCCCAATACCACGTCTGCTGTGCCTTCAGAAAAGTTCCCTTGGTCTTTGGCCAATGACACCGTGAAAACTGATAATGGTTCCATTACAGTTAGCATCCTCCCTTCGGCACCAGCTACCACGTGGGCGAATTCCAGGACAACAGAGCCAGATGCCTGGCTCAGCACGACCAGTGACAGCATAGCAGCGTTCACCCCCTACCAGGAAATGACTCTACAGCCTACCTTAAACTTCACCAATAATTCAAAAATCTTTCCAAACACATCAGACCCCCAAGAAGGTAAATATAAACACACTTAACTTTCCTTTGGTATGAAATAATCTCCAAGTAAATCATAGGGGTTACAACTGGGGAATGTGTCATACTAGAAAAATGAAGGAAACTACAACAGCATAGGTTGCTCTCACTTTTAGGGGTCACCATGATATAACCATTGGAAATAGGGAAGGAATTTTAGAACTTAGGTCAGCATGTGCTGGTCATTACTGTAGGGAAACATGAGGAGACAGTGGGACAAAATGAGAAGTGGGTCAGGCTGACAAGAAATAGAAACTGAGGTGGTGATACAGTTTAGAGATACTGTCTAATGATTTCCACTGAATTTTAGAAAGACTACTTGAAATTTCATATGCTTTTAGGAATACTGTACAAATGAACTGTAAAAATATATGACTGTTGGTTTTGAAACTTGATATAAGTACACTTATAAGTTATCTGATACCTATTGCAATCACAGGAAAATAAAACACTGATTTTTTTTTAAAGTACATAAACTCAATGAAAGGAAATCCTCCCTAATTTTTAGTTTAGTACCTAATGAACACCATAAAACATAGTTTACCTCTATCTCAAAAAAATTGTACATGGGGATATTTTTATCTTTCATTTTTATGGATTACATCAAGCTTTAAAACCTAAGCAGAGAAAGAGCTCCAATATTTAATGAAAATTCATTGCTTTATTTTTTTCAGGTCTAACCATGTTTCTATTTCCTTGAAACCTAAAAAAAATACTCTTTTTTTTTTTACTACAAACTCACCAATTTCCAATACAACTTATTTACAGATTATATTAATGATGCAAAAACCAAACCATATATATAAGGTCTTATTGGAAAATTGTTGCAAGTATACAGGAAAGGTTTTAGATTCTGAAATCTAGGCTTTCCAATAGCTCTGCAACCAATATATTGTGTGTGTGAGTGTGTGTGTGTGTGTGTGTGTGTATATATATATATATATATATATATATATATATATATATTTTTAACATTTTTGTTGTTGTTCAAGTACAGTTTTCTGCCTTTTCCCCTCCCCACCACCCCAGCCCTCCCAACTTCCCTCCCCTCTTTCCAATCCCCCTTGTTATTGTCCATGTGTCCTTATAATTGTTCCTGCAAACCCTTCACCCATTTCCCCCATTACCCCCTCCCACCTTCCCTCTGGTCACTGTCAGCCTGTTCTCAGTTTCAGTGTCTGTGGTTATATTTTGCTTGCTTGTTTGTTTTTCACTTTAGCTGTAATTTTAACATATCTACACCATTTAAACATGCTCTAATATTCCACCAGAAGTATTTTTAAAAAATACTGTCTTTTGTCTTTCTAAATTCAAAATACTTATTGAGAACACTGAGCACTTACTCCTGACATTGCTCTTTAATTTAAAAAAATGCTAACTTTGCTTCACTTTTATTTTAGTAATAATTTTACTGTTAACTTTCTGGTGTGAAGATTAATTATTTTTTAAAAACATAGGACTTCATATAGAATCAGAGACTATATAAGATCTCTTATCTACCTAGTTAACTTCTCAAGAAATTAAAAAAATCTCATTAAAAGTAAAATACACTAAATATGAGTTCAGGGAGCAGTAAGTAGTTTATTGATGATGGTCTTCAACTACTGACTTGGTAAAGGGGATGACAGAGTGAAATCGTGGGTTCTCTTAGGCTCAGACCTACACATTTGTTCCCTGTGTGCAAGGCATGGACAACACCTTGCTTCAGTCATTTGTTCTCTTTCAAAGTATCCTTATCAGGACAAATTGCTTTTTTCTGATTGCCTTTTTACTTGGAGCTTTGTGGATTCATTTTCTATTATGCACTTACTCCTATTAGCTTTTTACTTCCAAATTATCATAGAAACAAGCTCAAAGTTCATTTCACCACTAAAGTTCATCAGAGATTCAGAGTTGATTAAAAACAATATAGCTTTCAACACAGAAGTTATGTCCTAATGGAACACACACATGACATTTCAGTAGTATCAGTGTTGATAAGCAGTGAGATGCTGTTATAAAACTAGTACTTGGTTGTATCAAGAAACATATTTTGCCAGTATATCCCAAGTACTCAGTACTTGATAAAACACATACAACATCACCCTTATCTAATAAATAAATACATATAAAATATTATTAAACATTCTTTGTGGTATGTAGGAAGTCCACAGGTATGTACGGGTGTGTGTGTATCTACACACACACACACATCTGTTCTTTGAACAATTATTTTTATTTCTTGTTTGTAAACTATTTTTTTCTTTTTTTTCTTTAGAGAATAGAAATACAGGAGTGGTATTTGGGGCCATTTTAGGTGCTATTTTGGGCGCTTCGTTGCTTACCCTTGTTGGCTACTTATTGTGTGGAAAAAGGAAGACAAGTTCATTTTCCCACCGGCGACTTTATGATGATAGAAATGAACCAGGTAAAAACAACTTTCAGGACTTCCTCTTCCCACAGTGGTTTTAAGTGTTGACTGCGATTGGTCACTATATTGTCTAGAGAGGTTCAGAGATTCACATGACAGGAATAGACAAAAGATTTACTCTGATCTACTCTCTGGTTCTCAAGTAACATAAACAAAATAATTATGAACCTGTGAGAAAAATTTTTTAAATATTTGAAACTGTTGCTCACTGCATCACAGTTGGTTTTAAATAATATTCCCTGAACCTAAAATACATGTATAAAATTGGAAGATAATGTTATGGTCTTGAGAAAAATATGGCCAGTTTTGTTAGCATTGCTGGATTTTTTTTATTAGCAGTAATTTGAGCAAAGACATACGCTAATGAGAAGCTCTTCACAAGTTTTACAGACACAGTAGACCTATACTAATTATTTTATTGAATCTCTTAAACATGATTTCTACAGAGTTGCATATTTGGTTATATAAAGTCACAAGGCACAATTTACCTTAGTTCAGGATTTTCCCATTCACATGATAAAAAAGAACCATAATGTCTATGAATAAAATAATGTAACTGCTAACAATTAAGCACTGAGTTTGATCTCAACAATTCAACGTTTAGAACACAAATGAAATCAGTTCAAATGCTTGACTCATCCCTTTGTTTACTGGTTTTCACAAGGGACTCTTGCTATCATAAAAAAAAGTTACATGACCCTGGTGGGGTCCATAGGTGAGTCCTGTTGATTTTTGGTTACTTGAGACCATGACTGACATACACTCTTTTTTGGAACCAAATCCACTACTTGTAAGTTTAACTGAATTCTGTCTGAGTTTCTAGCAATCGATGTAAAGTAGAAAGTGGAAGTTTTCAAAATTAAACAATAGGATTTCTAACAACAAGGGGTTTTAGTTTGTTTTTGACTTTCAGAATATTTTTCTTTATCTATAATCACATACAAAAGCTCAGTGTATTAAATTAATACAACTTAAGATGTGATTGAAACAAAAGAAAACAACTCATTTACACCATCTACTTTACTCCTTCAAGACAGACTAGGGACACTTCTCCCAAATCCCTATAGTCCTTGGGAGACCAGTTTGTAAAGAGATGGCTCAAGAAAATGATAGGATATGAACAACGAACAATACTCAATGAACAATTAGATTAATAATCTACTTAGTAATTAGTCACTGCTTTAGTATTTAAGCGTATATCCTGCATGCCAAGTTTTCTTTGAATATAAGTTCAAGCTCATTAAGGAAATAATGTTTGGTTGATTCATGAAAAAGAAAAAAAATTATTTATTATCTGTCATGAAACCTTGAGTACATGGTAGGGTGGATCTACCAGCAGGACATACAAGCTTTTACAAAAAGTTTTCTTCCATCTCCACATTTAATGGCTCAACCATGTGAAGTCACTTGGTAGAATAATGACACTATTTTTAAATTAATTCTCTACACTTTTTAAAAATTATTTTTACACCAGAAATAAAAATTTTAAATATCAATTGACAAGGCCTGAAATCACAAGATTCAAGTAGTAAGACATTTGTTTACTTCTTTACACAAAATATTGCTGTGTACACTTTTGTTGTGATTTCTCCCTTAGTTCCTTTAGATTTGGTGTACCAGCGGGGAAATTTTGGAAATCAAACTGTTCTTTTAGTATTAGAAAGAAATGTGGTTTAAAAATATCTATTTATTTACAATTTCAAAACTAATATCTACAAAGCCCATATAAAGGGTAGATGTACTTACTGATATAGAATGATTCCTAAGGTGTGGCAGATACCTGAGTGTGTATGCATCTTTCATACTGTCACCATAAAACACTCTTTTTGGTTACTTTTTTAGTTCTGCGATTAGACAATGCACCGGAACCTTATGATGTGAGTTTTGGGAATGCTAGTTATTACAACCAAACTGTGAATGATTCATCCATGCCAGCAGGTCGAGAAAATGCACGTGATGGCATTCCTATGGATGACATACCTCCACTCCGTACCTCAATGTAAAACTAAGGGGAAAGGCTTCAGATGGCAAGTGTTTACCTACATCCTGGACTTTGCACCAACCCGTCTTCCCAAAGCTGAAATGAGATCACTGTCATGTGGCTTGTGCCAAGAAGAACTATAAAAACCTGAGACTAGGAGCAGAAAAAGAAAGAGAGGAGAACTCATCCAAGAGGTTTCCTTTCTTGCCTGTAGTGAAGCATCTGTTGAGTAACCTTAATTTGTATTTTGGTCTACTTTTTTCTATAAAAAATCCATAAAAAATGTTTATGGATTCAGGTAAGACTAAAAGATTTCACCTCGATTACCCTGCTTGATAATTTAATTTTAAAAAATCTTTCAATGAAAATGAAGAACCCAAACTACATTTTTACTGTTTTTCTTATTGGACAAACATCAATGGATGGACTCTTGACTGCTTCCCCTATAATCCTAAAGTCATGCATCACTATTAACATTTTGTTAAAGGAACATTGGAAGCTAGAAAGATAGTATGGCACAGAATTTCTCCTTCTGGGAAATTTAGGTGAAAGGAGTGAGAGACCTACCTTTTAGTACAGTTTACTTTTCTGCATCAGCACATAGATGGTCAGTCCCTTGAGTTGCCAAGTTGACAATGACTTTGCACTCAACAGGGCTATGTTAGAAAAAGGGGCCCTAACTAGGAAAGTAACTGCTTTTCTTCAAAGGAGCAGGTATTCGAACCTGTCTGATTTACTTTAGGCCTCAATTAACTGGGTACTTTAAAAATTCAGTGAGGAACATGGTAACAAAAGTTAGCCAAATCATGTACCTGCACATAATTTTTACAGTTTTAGGATGTTACTTAGGGACAGAATTTAATATGTATTTGACATTACCGATCAATTGTATGTGGAATAGATTCTGCATCTGTAAATATATGAAGAATAAGGTAAAAACAGATAACTGGAAATGTTAAGAAAACAAAAATGTTTCTGACCATCAGTTTCAAGAGAGAATATTCAAGAAGCTCAGCTTGGATTTTAATGTATTTCAGTTTGTTTTTAATTACCATCTGCTTCTGGCAGGAAAAAAATAAGCATTAGTACAGGAAGGTCCCAGGCTTTAGGGATTAGAGGATTAGATCAGGAGATAAATTCCCAAAGAAGCAATGAATGTGTGAAGAGGGCAACCAAAGCAAGAGACTCCACTGAATTGATTCATGGTGTGTGTGTCCATGCAAGTGTGTGTATGAAGAAACACAGCAACAGCCTCAGAGAATGAGGGATAGGAAGCAAGTAATGGAAGAACATACTTACCCCATATTGCCATAAAAATAGCAAAGAAGACAGTTCCTCCATTATCGAACAAGTATGTCACCTTAATGGAAACAAACAAAACTATGAGTCACAGTGTTGGTTAAAACAATCCAGTGACTGTGGTTTGCATTTTGGTCCTGTAATTTTTTTCCAATAGAATCACATTATTTCATAGTTTGTAAATACTAGGTATGAGATCATTTCAGGGATCCTGCAACTGTTTCATGCGATTGTCTCATAGGGAGAGACAAAGGGTCAGCATTTCCCCCTTTTCTTCTCTCTTCCTTGTTATTCCCTTTGAGCTCCAACTTCATTTCTGCTTGGAAACCTTTCTAGCACCTCGAGGAAGTAGTTGTGTGGGACACAGGAAGTCAAGCTACTGAGTGAACTGTAAGAAGTCAGCTTTTCAGTTGAAGATACCCAGTTGTACTTTTTGTTAGCAAAACATACAGGACTGAAGGAGTTGCAAAATGCAGACTTCCAATGGCACGATATCACAGTGCCGTCCCTACTCTCTGATATGTCAGAATTGACCATGGCCCCAGAGAGGCTATAAGAGGCAATGAATTTCATCTTAAGTTGTTTTTCAGAAGTTTCCTAAATCACTGACATGTAGGATATAGTGCAAGTGTTTTTGAATCAGACATTACCTGAAGTTTTATAAAGAACAATGTACAGTTATATGATGTTACTGAATACATTTTTCAGGGTTGCAAGAATTGTTTGATTTTAATAAAGTGTAAATGCAGTTTACCTTTGCTTCTTTTCATTTGCATAATGCCCTCACTGTATTTATAAGTTAGTGAGAGAGATTAAATGCATACAGTCAAAACAATATATGTCTGGTGGTCAAATACACACCATCACCACTATAGAAAAAAGAAGGACACTAACCTCACCAGAGAGAGGAGATGGTTAGGGACAAAACAAAAGAACATCATTATAAGGGGAATGGGAGTAAAATGCATTCTTCTTTGCTCAGTCTACAGTTCAGAGGTTGCTCAATGAGAGCAGTAAATGGGCATTTGTTGGGAACCGCCCTGACTGGTATCAGAAGCTGAAACCCCCGCCTAGCTAAGGCTAAGGGAACGCCCTTGGAACTGTAAGCCCGCAAGGAGACAAAAGCTTGTCTTCCTGGCAGGAATGCTGCTTCTGCTGCTTTATTCATGACTGAACCCCCAAAAGCTTGGTCGGTTAGCCAAAGATGGGTAAGATTCCCCACGGGGGAATGACCTAAGCCAGGCACGATCACTTTGGGAGGCTCCCCAAAAGAAGGACTTGGGTGGGGGGCTGCAGCAAAAGGGAGTGATGGACCCTCGCTCCTCGGCTTTGACATAGCCTGAGTTCTCAGCGTCTGGGAGAAAATCTCCTTATCTCTTGGTTACCTAGTTCCCTTGCTCCACCTAAGCCTGAAACAATGACAGGGTAGTACAGCTCGGTACTGAGAAGTGCGGATTTCCCGGGGGTGATCAGGCCTAAGAAAGAACATGTAAATTACTGTGAAACCTTCTTTGTTTAGAATGCTCTCAGTTGAATGAGAAGGGTCTTAGGAGGAAGTTAGTTTGTTCCTCAGTCTTACAGCTCTTTGACCCCCAACTCAATAGACCAGCAGAGTTCTTTGTTTTCTGTAGTCCCTTACTTCCCCTAATGAGTACTGTACTTTACCTGAATTATTATGCAAAATAAGCCTAATAAAAGCAGGTATGGACGGTAAATCAGCGCGCTCCCCACTAGGGGGGGTGGCCATTCTGTCCCTACTTCCCCACAGAAACTAGTCTGTCTCTGTGCATGTTGTTATTTCTCGCGTGTTTATCGTCGAGCCATCCACAGCGTTCCGTGGTCACTGCTGGCCGGTGACCCACGCGCAACAGGCATTTTAACTATAACCCCTGGATCATGCTGCAAACAATATGCTGAAACAGATAAAGGCAGGATGTATTTTCCTGTATCATAGCATCACTGAAAATATCATTATACAAAAGATGTACTCATTTTGATGGTTTGTGGATGGGTGTAAGATGTCCTATGTGGCTCTAAACTTCTACTATTATTAAGGCTTGAGATTTCTAAAAATGTTGTAAAAATTGGTTTTCATAACAATCATCAGTAGGTCATCAGTATATATTATGTACTGAAGAGAAAAAGACCATAAAGAAATTCTCCTACAGAGCTTATAAAATTACACCCAGTGGGGGGATCCAGCTTTTTTGTTTGCAGAGGCATTCCACAGAGCCACCTGCTGCCACCACCCACTGAACAGCTGTCTGCTTTCCTCTAGAAGTGACCTACTGCAGGGAATCGTCTCTTCGAATGTTCCAACACAGACTTTGCAACGGGGACTGAAAAGGTACTAAGAAATAGTGGCTTTTGCCTGCTCCAGAAGCAGCCATGCTTTTAAAGAAGTGGTAAATAAAGAGCCACAGGATTCACAACACTTGGGTTGCAAGGACATGATTGGTCACAGTTTATGCAAGATTTTCCTTGAAAAAGCTTCTCATTGTTTTCTTGATAAGTTTGTTCACGCATCTCAGCTATTTTTTAACTCAGTACATTAAAACATTAATTTTTTAGAAATACATCCATGAGATACAGCATGGTGTATGTAAAATATTCATATAATGTGAGTCATAATTGTCTCTAAACATACTCTTTTCTACCAGGAAAAGGAGGCATGAGGATTCTGCATGATGAGAAAAGCCCCTGGTTTTGGACAGTTTCTTTGCTTTATCACTCGGCCAGATGTGGGTGTTTCTTATATGGATGCTTAGTGTTCAGATAATGCCAGTGTAGCTCCTTAAATCTGTTTGAGTGAAAGCAGAAGTGACATATGTATGGATTTGTTGGTGTCCCTAAGGCAGTCATTCATGTCTTTGAAATGCATGGGCTGGGAGAGCGACATATGTATATACATCTAAAAACTCCAATGCATTTGACTTTTACAAAAACTGTGCAGGAAATGCTTCCTAAGATGAGACATCTGTGTTGACACTGGACATCTTTCAAAACTAAGTGTATGTCAGAAACGAAATTATAAACAAAACAGACTTTTTCTATGCCATGTATTCAAGATATAATTCAGAAGCTAATTTTACCAAGTTTGGTCTTGCAGTAGAATATTAAGTGTCTCTTGATTTTATACCTAGCTTTGTCAAAAGTAAATGTATAGAGACTTCTACTTCTGAACAAGATGGAATAGCAGTGACTAATTTTACCCCCCATTCTGGAAACAACCAAAGAATGCACAAAATATATAAACAACAGATTTCAAGATAGTGAATGTTAGGCAATGAGTGCTGATGACCCTGGAGAGGTGGAAAACAGAGGGAGTGAGTATTATGAGTGCCTCAGGTTACTACACTGAAAGAGTTGGTAGGGTGCAGAGAGGGGCCATCCAGACAGTGCCCAGTGAACATGTATGTGAGGAAGCTACCTGAGGAAAGAAACATCTGAGAGGATCAGAGGTAACAGTGTCGGGAGCTCAGAGACAGAAATAGTGCCTATTCTCACTGCCAGACTGGAAGCTCACATTATACAGAGTGCATTGAGTAAAGCACACAGAAAGATCTTGTGTTTATTGGGGATGTGGTATTAGACAGAACACTGCTGTGAGCCCATGTCACAGATTTTAAAATCAAGACCCCAAAAGATGAAATTATTTTCAAGTAACTAAAGTACAATGAGAATAGTTAAACTTAAAAAGAATGACCATACTAAGGGGTAGTGACTATATAGAAAACTGGAATTCTCATACACTGTTGGCAAAAATGTAAAATGGTACACACACTTTGGAAAATAGGTTGACAGTTTTTAGAGAGTTGAATCTCCAACTATCGTATAATCCAGCTACTTTACTCCTAAGTATTTACCCAAGAGAAACAGTAGTACTTATCTATTGGAAGATTTGTAGATGAATGTTCATAGAATCTTTATTTACAATGGTAGTAACTTGAAACAATCCCAAAACCCATTAATAGATGAATGGGATAAACCCACTCTGGTATGGCCATATAATGCAATGCTAACTCAGCAGGAGAGAGGAATAATCTGCTGATAAATGTTACAGCATGACTCTCCAAATGACTATGCTGTGTGAAAGAAGTTGTAAAAAAATCATATCCTCTAGGATTCCATCTACATAAAAGTCTAGAGAACACAAACTTGACTATAATGACAGAAAGCAGTTGGTTGCCTGAGTACTGTGGTGGAGTTGGGAGGGTGGGAGGCAGGGATGACAGATCAGAGTTGGTGAAGAAACTTGGAAGTTATGGATATGTTCATTATCTTGATTGTGGTAATGATTTCACTGGTGTACATATATAACCAAAATGTACCAATTTATACACCACACATAGGTACATTTTATTATACGTTAATTATAATTTATTAACATTATTTTATAAATAAACAGTGACAATTGTGAAGTTTAGTTTCTCAAACTTGTATGAATGTTAGAATCACATGGGAGGTTTTAAATATACTGATGTCTAAGTTTCAAATCCAAAGATTTCTATTTAATTGCTCTGGGATTATTTGAGTTTCAGGAGTTTTAAAAAACCTTCAGGTGATTCTAATCAGCAGCAATCTGAGAACTTTTGGTATGTCATTTTATTTTTTTTTCTGTAAAATTAGAAGTACTTTAATTTCATGAGTCTTCATGGAAGATTTAAATGTAATCATTACCAATAAAAATAATCATCATTTCCTAAAAAGAATCTAGACATCATTCCAAGAAAAACTTTGAGTCTATAATAGCAATAATCAATATATAAAAACAAAGGGAGACAACAATGTTCAAATAAAAATATATGCATTTTTGTAATTGCCATGGAGTGGCATCTCATCCCACTGTCAATGATATGGATTGTGAAAACCCTTGGGAACATTTAGCTTGGGTAAAAAGCAATTTAATGAAGTCATTTTTACTACCAGGAGCTCAAGAAGGACACATGAGGGTCCACACTCACCTTGGCATAGATACAGCTGTCATTGAGTCTCTGTAGTGAGCAGTTCTTGTCACAGAGAGGGCACATGAAGACTTCGGTAGCCTTGCAAATTTCTTGGCTTGAGAAATCAAAGAAGAAAAAAAGAAAGCATAAACCTTCATGTTTAGGAAGGTGCTTAGCTCCTACAATCAATCCTGTGGGAACCAGCAAGACAGAGAAGAACAAAAGAAAAGGAAATGATGGGGCATGATATCCAGGTAAGGGAGAACTTAAGACTGTGGCTCCAATTTGAATCTTTTTAAATTTTATATATATTTATTGAGAGAGAGAGAGAGAGAGAGGGAGGAAGGGAGAGGAGAAACATTGGTGTGAGATAAAAACATCCATAAGATGCCTCCTGCATATTACCCAGCTGGGGACCAAACACGCAACTTTGGTATGTGACCTGACTAGAAACCGAACCCACAACCTTTTGGTGTATAGGCTAACCAATCAAGCCACATGGGCCAGGGTTCCAACTTGAATTTTTAGGGTATTTGTGATACAGAGCTTCCTGTTTGCTTCTTTGTTTTGAGAAGTCTCTATCTAGACAATGTAATGACCATAGGCCATCTTTTACACTTGGGAGACACTTGTGGGGTTTTGTTACGGAGACACTTTTACACCCAAGGGAATTTTAACCAAGTTCACAGGCTTGGAAGTGGTTAACTGTATCACAGCTCACTATTTTGATTTCTCAAATTTATTACCCTTCCCCACTGAATCTCACAGTCTTAGAATCAGCAAGATAAATAGATTCCATAATTCACACAACTTCATAATCCCCACTGCAATAAATCAATGCATCATGTCTACTAGTGTAGAGTAAATGGAGGCAGTCTGGCTCCCTTTTTGTCTGGGTAACTAAGGAAAGCAGTTTTCCTATAACCTTGAATGGGCCTGACCAGTAGTGTTCTCATAGCCTTGAGACTGTGTCCGATAAATGGTCCCCACAAGATGAAGTGGGCTCACATGCGCAGAATCATGCTATGTTATATAATTTTTTGGCTTGAGGCTGGCTTTGTGTGTCTCTAGTATTTGAACAAGTAGGAGCTTCTCACTAGAGAGACACACAGCTTGTAGCATGCTTGGCTCACCCACCCATGAATAAAGGCATATTAAGCACCCCCATGGCACTGAGCATTTTCTCCTGTCTCCCTGAGTCGCGAGTGGACCCACCAGGCCTTGAACAGCTGCAAGACTATGGGAAATTTGAGGATCATGTCCATTGGAAATTTGAGGGAGCTGATTCTCCTTTCCCTTTCCTTCCGTTTCCTTCCCTTCCCTTTTGTTGCCTTCCCTTTCTTCTCCTTTCCCTTATTTTTTTTTTTGTTGTGCTTTGACATGCAGTGTCATGCTGACATGACATAGATTTTATTTACTGAAATATATATTATATTCTGTATTAGAATGTAACTTTACAATATCTCTCTTCAGTTTTATGCCACTACCTTTTAAAACATCTCAGCATACATCATAGTTGACTTTGTGAAAGGAGTAGGGCATCAGTAGGAACTTCTCAAAAGCCTCACAGCCTGAGAGTTTCCAGCCATCTATTTTCAAGATGTTTTTGTTTTATGTGTCACACATGGTTCTTCCCCACTGAGTATCACCTGAGTAACTTGTTTTTAAGTAAATCTACTCTGGAAATGTTGAAAGTAATTTCAAGGCTTTTGAAAATATGCCTGAAAATAAAAGTTTAATTGATGGTGTTTGTAGTGAGAATTGCAATTTTCCAAAATGTCTGCACTCAAATGAAGCAAAAACAGATTCATGTGCATGTCAAGTGCTGGATGTGTGTATTCTCAAGCCATAGTAGGAGTAAACAGTAAGGAAGCATACTACATAGTCATGCAGTGCTTTGCAGTGAGCAAAGATGAGTTCATGCTCATGAAATTCAGTCCTCACTGTAATCTCCTGCAATGGGAGTTATCCCCACAACACAGAGCAAACTGATATTTCATCTAAGTGAGTTGCTCGAGATCACATAGCTAACAGTAGATACTTTAGGGAACTGAATTTAGTTTTTTCTTATTCTGGGTCCAGTTCTCCATCAACTATAATATATCTAAAAGAATGATACATTTGTTTTATATTTTAAAAAAAGCTGTCTTACCAAAAACTAACTTATTAGTGATGATGATATAATAGGTCTTACACACACTATCATCTTCCCACTTTCACACACACCCTATTTCTACTAAACAGGATGTCCATATGAAGTAGAAGGAAACAGGCAAAACACACAATTTAAAGGTCCCAGAGAGAGAGAGGATTGTATCTTCTCTTAGTAATACTACTAATTTATACAAACAAGAAGAAATAACACACTCCTTGAAGGAAATTTTGATTGAAATGGTATTGCTCTCATAATCCCTTGTGTTTTGAGAATGACACAATGCATCCTGTATTGAAATCTCATACTAACAAGGTATAATAAAATCATTTTATACCATACCATCTTCCTCATCTTCCAAATGGTCAAACAAAACAGCAAGTCTACAATTCTAGCTACCAGACTGAATCCTACTTTTAATTCCAGAATCATTAAACTCATTCTCTATAATTTTATCAAAGTATAACTTGATACATAATGAAAATATTAAACAACTTTTGACAATGTATTTTTTAGCCTGAAATAAGGGATTTGAGGCCATCAGAACTTTCGTTTTTACTGCACCACTAGAGGGAGAAAGAGAGCCCAGCAAGAGTGTTTTCTTCATTTCTTTTGTTGAGGCAGATAATATAAACCACGACTTCAACTGTGGCTTTCTTTTCTTTTGCCTCTAATGTCAGATATACATAGTAAGGGCTGAATCAAATAAAATAATAATCACCACCACTTAAGGTAATGGGTGGAGAGAGAGATTTGTCCATTTGGGGGTGGATGTCTGGATCCACTCCAGGGTCTCGAGGCTTTCTGTGACAAGGCACAGAATAAGATGCTTGGTGATGTCCATTTGGGGGACTTGTGAAAATGTTTAAGTAGATTTAAAAGAAGGTAGTATAGAAGCATGAGGAAAGCATGGGTTTTAGAATCAGATATAATCACCAGGAAAAAGCAAATCAAATCATGAGATATTAACTCATACCTGTTAAGATTGCTATTACCGAGCAAACAAAAAGACAAAAAATGACAAGTGTTGGCAAGAATGCAGAGAATTTGGAACACTTGTATGTTGTTGGTGAAATGGTACAACCACTATGGGAAACAATATGGACTTTCCTCAAAAAATTAAAAAATAACAGTACCATATAATTCAATAATCCCATTTCTGAGTATCTATCTAATAGAACTGAAATCAGGATCTTGGAGAGATATCTACACTCCCATATTCACTGAAGCATTATTCACAATAGCCAAAATATGGAAATAACCCAAATATCCATCAATAGATAAATGCATAAAAAATGTTGTATAAACATACAGTGAAATATTATTCAGCCTTAAAAAGGAGAAAGTTCTGCCATATGCAACAGTGTAGCTGAACTGGAGGATATTACATGAAGTGAAATAACCAGTAGCAGGACAAACGCTGCATGATCCCATTCACATTAGGCATCTAAAACAGTCAAACTCGTGGGAACAGAGCAGAATGTAGTTTGCCAGGGTTAGGGAGAGGGAAATGGGAGCTACTGTTCAAGAGGTATAAAGTTTCAGTTATGCAAGATAAGTAAGTTCTAACAATCTGCTCTCCAATGTTGTGCCTATAGTTAACAATACTGTAGTGTTCACTTAGACATTTTTAAAGAGGGTAGATCTCATATTGTGTTCTTATCACAATTTTAAAAATACATTAGATTGAGATTTGACACTTAGCTGACCATTTACTAGATATATTAGCCTGACCAAGTCCCTTACCTCTCTGAGGATCAGTTTGTTTATCTCTAGCTGGAGATGATATCTATTTGTGATATTATATAAGGGGCACTGATAACGCACCTGCCATATCACAGAGAGTTAATAACCCTCCTTGCTAAGGATGTTGTGAGCAGAGGGTCTAGAAGGCCTTTAAGACCCAACTGCTTTTGGAAGAAGTTCAATTTCTTGGTGAATTCTAATGCCAAAGAAGAAAAGATGGACTAGAAAGTTGGGATTCCTGTTCTTTGCTCTAAACCTGAAACCCAGGGCCTGAGAAGCAGGCCATACCTACCTGCTTGGTCATTTTCATATTACTAGATATATCCTCTCCCAGGCATAAATATGACCACATTTGATTACACAAGACCAGTGAACACATGTAAATATATACATGTACATATACATAGAATAAATAATCTACAACTTGATGGTTTTGTAATTCTACAGTTAACTGCAGGGAAATTAAGAAATATGGCTTTAACTTATCTGAACAAAGCTGGTAGAAACATAATAAATACAACCTAATCCTCAGCTTTTCAACATTTTGTTTCTTTACAAGAAACCAGAAGAGCTTAGAAGTATACTGAAACAAAGCAACACAAAAGAAAAGCTCTGTGTTCTCCACCAACCCACCATGATAACACCTACAAGTTCACGTCTGACACCTTGAATGGAAGATTTCAGCTCACGAAATTTTGAAAGATATTCAGTGAAGCTTAACTTGATTTAGAATAGAAAGTCTGACAAGTTCTTAATTATAACATGACAGAAGTAGCAGAAATACAATACCATAAAGCACTGAAGCAAAGAGTTTGCTAACGCCTTTTGAAACACTCCTTGTATTGAAGGTTAGAGGATACCAATATCATACAAAAGGAGCCTAATTTGCTCCACTGGTACATACGTCAATAGGGACAGCAAATCGAGCCCTTTCATTGTCTTTTGTTCATTTCCAGCTTTGTAGGGGTGGAGGGGGAGTCTACACCACATGGTAAAACCCTGTACCCGTGGAACCAAGATAAACAGCAGCTGTCTAAGAATCATTTTCTGTTTGTGTTAATCCATTTTACTTATTTTATTTTTTAAATTTATTTATTTTTAGAGAGGGGGAAGGGAGGGAGAAAGAGAGGGAAAGAAATATTGATGTGCAAGAGATACACTGATTGGTTGCATCTTGCACGCCCCCAACGGGGGACGTGAACTGGGACCTTAGTTCTCATGAAGTGTGCTTCTCTGGGTGGAGCAGGCTGACCCTTCAGTCGAACCCAGGTGCCTTTCTCTTTGGCTTCCTTTTTTTTCTGCTCTTTTTTCCTTCACATGTTTCAGGAAGCTATCTCGGCTCTTAGAGTGCTTAATATGCTCAATTTGTACATTAATTCTCTCGGCAAGAATCTTGCCCTTGTTTGTTTACAACAATGCCCACTGCATGCTGGGTGTCATTGTAGACTCTTCCAGTTTTGCCATAGTAACATTTGTGGGGCATTCCTTTCTGAACAGTGCCCATTCCCTTGATAGCTACAATATCACCTTTCTTGTGGATTCGCATGTATGTAGCCAAAGGAATAACTCCATGTTTTCTAAAAGGCCTAGAGAACATATAACGGGTACCTCTCTTCTTTCCCTTTGTGTTAGTCATTTTGGCAAATTACTGGAAGATGGCGGTTCTGGCCGCCAAGAAGCTCATTACTTGTTTTTTATAGTCAGCATTACCATAAAATTTTTGTCCAATCGGAGGAAAGACCAACAGTTTTCAATAAGCCTGTTAGTAGCTTACCTTACTTGACTTGCATTCATTGTAAATATTCCATAGAAGAAAACACACAAGCCAACCAGTGCGGCAGGAATCAGCATTCCAGTATACCATCCCAGCCAAGCAAAGTACAGCCCAATCTTCTCACCAAAATACAGCCTGCATAAGAAAGCAAACTGTTAGCTTAAGGCCACATAAGTCACACTACAAATGCTGATGTCACACCTAGTCAGAATTTCAGACAGATGCCTGAGGCTACCAGCTCAGTCCCTTGGCAGCTCCATCTGGATTATCTTAACATTCATGGTTGTTAATAATTCTAATAACGGTGACATTGATTGTCTTTAAACTTGTCATTTTAGGAACAATTTTATAAAATGTGTTTATTTCTGTATCAACTTTCTCAATGTTGTTCATAAAGCTTTTCACCAATTAATTCTTGCATGTCTCCAGCCTCCTAGGAGAGTCCCTTTTTTGTTCTCCACACGTAGCTGTGCTACACCACATTGCTTTTGCATGACTTAGAAAAAAGGCTCTTCTCTAGGTGGGTGGGGACAGCAGATCTGATATCAGTCTCCATATGTGCGACTACCCAGACACCTGTACACGGGACACAATCTGCACAATTATGCCACATCTTCCTCAACAAAGTTCAACCCTGCAGTTCCTGGAACACATGATTCTTTACTTGGTTCATGCTTTGAAATATTACATTCCACTTTCTTCCTGTGCCTGGCTTACATTTATCTGTCACTTTTGATCGCTTCTCCAGGAAGCCTTTCCTGACTTCCATTCCAACCAGGGGTTAGATGCCCTGTCCTCACCCAAGTTTCAGTGCCTAAATTCACTGCAGTTACCTGGCACACCTCTGTTCCCCTCCTGTCCCATGGCTGCAGCTGTTGGGGAGGCGACCGTGCCTTACCAGCTCCCACCATAGGGCGTTATCAAATGAAGTGAAGGGAATTGAGTGTATTTTATTTCCCTTGAGCTGATAAATACAGTCTACATGGAAATGGCAGGAGAATAAGGTGGTTGTAAAGACTAAATCGCCTTTTCTTCACCAAGTCTACTGTAAATATTATCTGTCACACTGTTTATACAGCTCAGGTATAAAATGATAGCTTCTTGAATTCTCTACTACTGTTCAGTTTCCATTTCCTAAAAATGCTCACTTAACACACAGTTTGGCCCAACAATAGTTTTAAAGATCGGTGTTTTATAGTTCATTTGGGAATATTGCACTCAGCAGGGATTCTTGCTGGGAAGAAAATTATCTTGTTATTTTTTTCCTTAACAAGACTTCTTTTTCTGAAAATTATTCTCTTGCTACTTTATTTTCTGTATTATTTGTGTAAATTCTACCAGGTGTAGACAAAAAGTCACCTTCCATTAAGTGCCATTTATCTAATTTTTTTCATTTATTTCTCCTAGGAAACACACATCACTAGTCTATTCATTTTTTATACAATGATGATGTTCTACTTTTAAACAGAAGATTATTTTAATAACAGATACTGCATCAAAGCCTTTGTGCCTTTAAACAAGTGTTCTTCTGAAGGTTGGAGTTGTTTTGTTTTAGCGCATATTATATGTCAGAATATCTTTAGAACAATTATAGAAAACTACATGTATAGACCCCTTACATAGAGAGTATTATACTGAGATTTCAAATTATACACTGTTAAAGGTTAAGTAAGAGGAGTGACACTATTATCGGAGAGGAATACAATCACCTGAGTTACATCAGATTTCTGATCTGCTTCCGGAGAGGAAAGAGACAGTTTCAGGCAAGGAAGGTGAGGGAAATCCCTTGACCAGAGCAGTGTTATTCCCAATCTTCTAGGCCATCTAGTGATTCCTTAAACATATCTCAAAACCACAACAGGGCAGGGACGAATTCGGGGCTGCTGTTGTGTCACTCCCCATCACACTTCACCCATGGCCATTCCATTTTTATATTTTTTATATTGCTTCCCCATGTGACATTTCATTTGATGATAGGATTTGGCTGCAGAAATAACCTCAACCATAAATAAACATATGATAAATTCAACAGTTTTTAGAGAGAAGTATTTTATTAATTTTTAAATCTTTTAGGGAGAAGTATTTTATATTAAAATCTTTCTGATGCTTATGGTGAAACCTTTTGAAAAACGCCACACAACTCTTCTGTTTACTGGGTTTTGTAGCTGACAATATCTAAAGTGTGCTCTTTTCAGATTCGGCAAATTTTTTTTCAAATATTTCGAATCAAATAGATACTCACTAAATCTTTGTTGAAAGATAAGTATATACCTAGATGCTTTGTTGGTCATTTCCTCTTTGCTCTCGAATCCTTTTTCTGTCTTTCCTTGTTTTGATATGTTTTCATAGGAAAGTAGATTACACAGATTCCTTTATGAATTGCTCCAGGTTAAGTGGGGCCAGGAGGTACTTGGAGACTCAAAGGAGAAAGGAAGGAAGGAAAGGAGAATCCAGGATCTTTTCTCCTGTCTTGGTTGTCCTCAGGACAGCCATGGTTTATCCATAGCTCTACTCCCTACATTTTCACATCTTTGTAGGTAGCCCGGTCACAAATTTCATAGCCCAGGTATCAGGCACTGAAATATACTTTATTCCATTTTCCTTTCAGCCTAGGATAGTTCGCAATTTTCCACTGTTAATCTCAGGTTGTCACATTATTCCTGTTTGATTTCTCACTTTTCCTGTCCCCTGTCCAATCAGTTTCCTAAATTAAGTCCCTTTTATTGAAAAGATTCAGAATGGCTTATTTTTTCCTGATTGCATTCTGATGAGTAAATGAAACAATTCCAAATCGAAGAAAATGACAACAAAATAGCATATGCTTTCCATTATCGATTCACATGGAGTACCTAATTAAATCCAGGGGCTGATGCTTGTACCACATTCCCCATCGTGCCCAGCGCTCATATAATAGATGCCTGTTATTCTGAGGTCCATGAGTTTTGATGGGATGGCTGCTCTTGTAGGCTCCCTGAAACAGATACAGTAAGATAAATGGGTACCCCTTCTATTACTAAAATTTGAACTAAATAGAAATTGCTTTTGTTTTGTTTTCTTACAGAATAATTAAAAACTTATTGAGAGCTTCAGAAATTGTAAACTTAAGCTTATCTCTGGAATGATGTTGTCTTTATATATCCATCATTCATTGAAAATATTGATAGTTCTTTAAAAAATCTTCTCTTTAATTCCTTTTTAAATCAATGAGATTCCTTTCACTTACAGTAAACTAGACTTTACTCTGTGGAACCTAAGGTCTATTACTAAACACCATGACTTCACCATCACTGAGAGACACTGGAGTCTGGTTTTCAGGGCTCAAAACTGTACCTTTGAAACTTAAGGTTTCTATGCCTCAATGACTTATTTATAAAATGGAGTTAATATCATCGTCTATTTCAAAGAGTTTTTGGAAGGATTAAATGAGTTAAACCATACAAAACATTTAGCTCAGTGCCAAACAGTAAGTGCTCAACACATTTTATCTCTTATGGGCTGCACTATTCTGTGAACTCCTGGGAGTCCACAGCCTTAATACATAGAACAACGACCAGTTTTGAAAGTACATCAGTGAAATTTTTAACGACTCCATTCTTATGTGGAAATTCAAATTTGCTTAAAAAATGAATGCAGGGCGTGTGTCTGGGGGGAGTGGGGACATGGTAGAGTTAAAACTGATAACGGATTCAAATTTAACTCAAGACTCAGCAGGCGAAGCCCACCACAGCTTAGAGCAGGCTTTTCTACTGAAAATTGGCAGAGAGGTAACATCAGGTAGAGAATCAAGTACATAATGGACTGTAGGTTTTCTGTGGGTTTGATTTTCAGGGATCCCAATGCAATAAGTACAAACCAGGGACCTGCCCCTTGGGAATGGTGTGGGTCCCCGACTGTGTCATCGTGGAGCTCTGTGTTGGAGTGGAGGCATCAGCCAGAGCAGCTGAGCCACGTGCATGAGTTCCCTCCAGGGCTGGGCCTCCTGATGCGGGCAAACTGTAGGACGGTTCTGGGCAGAGGAGCCTGCGTATAGCCACCAAATGTCACGGGGGCCTCAGAAAAGCCCAGTTGCTGATTGAACTTTCTTGAGAGAGGGAAGCCAGACTTAAATTTAAAAGTAAAATGGGATCAAGCATTGAGCATGGAAAACTTATTAGTTTGTAATGGAAATTGTATTTCAAAATTACCTCATGTGGGGGAAAAGCTGCTATATAGGAGCCATTGTTTATCAGTTTACAGATACCTGAAAAGAGAAGAAAGGACCAGTTCTTGAGTTAGTTTAAATGAAGACTGTCTTCTGAAGCAACATGCATATACTTCAAACAATAAGTTACTTGAAAAACTTAGAATAACCAAAATGACTTCCCTAACCACCTCACCTATGAGGACACTGAGGTTTTGAAAGAGACTGATGTTGAGGGTGTAATTCTGTCCTTACAATATTAACACAGGGAGATTTGCAAGGTGCTAACATAAGATTTCACTTTGCCACATCATGATACAGGGGGAATTTTAACATCTACTCATTGGGGATCACATAAGCCTACAGTAACTTGTTCCTCAACTCAAAATTTGGTTAAGGGGGCAGAGGAATTCTCCACCCCTCAAAGAATCTCAAAAAGATAGTGGTGTTGAGAATTCATTGTATTATTTAATTTTTAATAGATGTATTGTGTGAATGTAACCTAGTTCATTTGCCAATTCCTAATGATGAACAGTTACAGAATTTCCAGTTTTATTTTACTACAAAGCCACAATGAACAAATGTCTTTGTATATTGTTATTCAAAGTTGGATTATTTCTTTGGCATACATTTCAAGAACAAAATTTCTCTTCCAAAATGTTTGCATATTTCACATTTTGATACATATGGCAAAATGTTCTTAAAAGAGTTTGTTTTATTGAAAGGCAGGCAAATAGAATGTTTAGAGTTTGTGCTCAGTGTGTTACATGTTCATATTTAATGCATGAAGGCGAAGCTTCAGTTGTTAAATATTTCTTGGTAACATTAGCAACTGCTAATTTTCCTTTCTCTGCATTATTATTTAGTGTTCTTACCCACTTTTGATATTCCATTCTCGTATTTGGTGTGCTGCAGCATGTGATAAACGATCCTGCTTCGAGTAGCGTTGCTGAAGAAGGTGTCCTTATTGTTTATTATGAAGCTGTTAAGATAGCGGGGGTGGTTTTAATAGTCAGAACAGAGCACAGAATCCAGCAACAGGAAGAACTTCCCAGGTGGCCATCCATCTGTCTTCTCTTTTATACTAATGTATGTGAAGTAGAGTAAATCAGAAAATAAACTATCCTCTTTAAAAAGAAAATCAATCAGCAGAGAAAAATTAAATACACATCATACAGGGTATTATCAAATGTTCATGTAAATATCTTTCGGTTCCTAAGAAAGCCTGGGTGTCTTCATGATTTTTGTTTGGCACCAAACAAGGAGTTTCCATGGGCTCCCATACATTTTAATTAAGCAACGTAGTTCTAAAGAGAACACATTAAAAATTGATGCAATTCCCCATGCCACATTTTCCAAGCAAGCTTATCTTACAGAACTTTAATAATGAGCAATTGTTCTCTCTTCCCTATTGGCCCTATTCTGTCCCTACATGGGAAGAGCTGCAAGGAGGAATCGCGTCAGAGTCAGTGACAGGAAAACCAACAGGGTGATCCCAGGAGGAAAGGAAGGGTCTGTTTTTAGCATTGGAAATGCTAAAAAAATGGAAAATGGAAGCATTTTCCATTTTAAAAAAATGAAAAATGGAAGCATTTTCCATTTAAAAAAAAATGGAAGCATTCTGGCTCTCACTCCACTGCTTGACAATGTCTGTTTCCAATTGTTTTATCTGTATGAATGATAAATCGCCATTTTCTCAGACTCAGTGCTGAAGTATTAGGTCTTCTCTGATCCTTGCTTTCTCTTTACTATCCATATTCAAAGAGTCACTGCCACACAAAGTAACTTTTATAACTATACTGCCCCCCGCTGGCTTTCTTGTATCCATCTAGTTCTGGGTCTCATTTGCTCTTGCCTAGGTTATGAAAAGAATGCCCTCTTACCTGGCTGCACAACTTCCCACCTGACTTTAATGCCCTGTTCTGACTCTTGGAGGACTCCCACTATTAATGGGTCAGCAGTTCTCCAATACGCGTAATTAAATTTTTTACTTTCTTCTGAGGGCTCTCTATTCTTGCATTTCAACCTCCCCCTTTGTCTTCTTACAGCTCTGGCTTCTTGTACCTGCTAGTCTGCCAAATTGATCGTCACCATGGAATCCCATCTTTCTTTACCTCAAGATTTTGTTCTGTTTCTCATATCTGTTCTTTTACCTCTCACTGCCTCCCTCCACACTTTTCCCTTCCTCCCTGCTGAAAAGAACTAGCTCCTTCATAAAGGTTTGCTGGATCTTCTCTTCTAGGTATAGTTCTTACCTCTCTTACAAAAATGCACACTTCATTTGTATCTTTCCTAATGCGTTAATTTTACTCTGCCTTGTATTATGGTAACCTATATACCTGCCCATTTTATTAGACCCAGAGTCGTTCTAATATTCTGATATTGTGCTTTCTATTTCTGTACTTGGATGCACTGAGTTAACAGTTCTTGTCTCCTGTTAATTATAAGCATAAAAAGAAATGTCCATCAATTATTTTACCATCAGATTGATCCAGAATTTTTGGAACAAGTATTTTTTAAGAGATAAATTCTTTTTCTGTGGAGTTACATTACAAATGAAGGAAACAGATAATACATAAGTAAATAAATCAGTTACACAATTTCAGGAGTTGCTAATATGAAGAAAAAAGGAAACTGCTTAATGGCATAGGGTATGACTGGACAAGGGGACTACAGATAAGATTTTCAGAGAAGGGCTCCCTGAGCTGCAGGTTTTGAGTGGGAGCTGAATGATAAGAAGGGACAGGCCATGTGAAGATGTGGAGGAAGAGCATATTGGCAAAAGAGAACAGCAAGAACAAAAACTCTGGGATGGAATAAAGCTCGAGCACTCAATGGGTGGAACCGAAGCTTGTGCCCCTGAAGTAAGTAGATGGCATGGAAATTGTAGAAGATGAGAGGATAGCGCTGGGCAGGGACCACAACATTTAGGTCCACATGGTAGCTGATAAAAATTCTGAGTTTTATTGTAAGTGTAAATGAGAGTCCATTGCAAGAAATTTAAGCAAGACAGTTGCATGATATGATTGAGATTTTTGGAAAATTGCCCCAGTTTCTCAGGTTCCAAGGGAAAGAGCAGATTTTTTTAAAAAATCGGGGCAACACAGAGCTTGAAAAAAGTACAACAAAAAGCTGAAGCAGCTTCCATGAAACTGCAACGTGTCTCTAAATGTAGAAGTCATTTGGGTTTCCATTCCTTCCTCCATTTCTCGTAACTGGAATTAAAAAATAATGCTTGCAGATTCGCCTGTAAGAGTAAATAATAGCATACATAAAATACTTGGAAAGAGAGGGTTTCCCATTGATTACTGGCTCAGCTACACGTCTGGTGGTCAGGAATTCTGTTTCATCCTGCCTCTCAACTGCCACCATCCCAGAAGACAAGTCAGTCCAAAACTGTGTATGGCAAATTGATCTTGCAGCCATAGACCCACTGTATACTGCACATTTCTCCGTCTTCATGCTTATCTTATTTTGTTTAATTATTAACTTTACCTTTTTGTCTGACCCAGTTGACTGGAAGTACAGTGAAAGCAGGGACTGTGCCATAACCTCAATCTGCATCATGTAGAAACTTAACAAATAGTAAGCAGTAAATAAAGGAGATACTGTATGTTGGTAGATAGATAGGCATGTAACAAATCCCTAAAAAATTCTTATTCACCTTAGTTTAATAAGATTAAACTAATATATACACATTAATTAAATATAATTTTAAATGTAATTTGTTAATTAGAACAATATTACTCAAGCATGTTATTTAACATCAATTCTATTATTATTAAATTCTCATCTTTTATGTTACTTTTGTTACATTAACTGACTTACTATCACAGTAATTATTTTCAAAGAATTAAGAGCTAGACTGTCATTCCCTGAGTTTACAATTAATTATTCACTACTGGAATGTCTCTAAATCATAGTTGATAATTAATTAATAATGTTCACTGACTGTTGTTCTAGGTTAAGTGTACATTTTAATAAAAGGATACCTTCTCTGACTTATTTGGCAAACTGTGGGACTGTTCCCAGCTATTCTTATTCTACCAATAACTCCCGGTAATGAAAGATGCCATGGCAGGTAGTGGGAGCAAACGGGTGGGAACTCACTGGTGAATCCTTGCACGGCTGAAGGGGCCGGTGTAGCAGTCTGACTCCTCCAGCTCTGGAAACGCTGACTTGTCCAGAACCATTGGGTTTTGAGACATCCATTTTTTGAGTCTTCTAAAATAATTGTGTACACTGGAACAAAGTCACATTTTAGCATTAGATGAGGATGCATCCTGGAGTAATGCCTACCTTCCACTGCCGCTCCAAAAAAAAAAAGGGTTCCAAAAAGACATAAGACACACCCACACTCAACAATCACACACATGCATTCTTCCTGTTTCCAGGAGGGAATGAAAAGAAATCTGAATTAAAGAGGCAAAAATACTTGGTCAGAGCCCAGATTGCGTCATACCAGCTGCGAAGGCTGGGGGTTGAGGCATGAGGGGTGGGGAGTAGTGATGATAGAGTCATTGATTTTTTTCCTAATTCCCCAAACCAGTTGCAATTTGTTATGCTTTCCTGAAGGATCATTTTAAAGACTCTTTAAAAACTGAATGTGCAAGTGCATTGTAAACAAATGATAAATAGTAGCAATAGTAAAACTATAACCCCTTCCTATCGACTTGCCAGGAGAAATGATGAACTTCAAAATCTGAGTAATTGCCTGTATATCAATTATCACCTCATGTTTATTGGCTGAAATACCCTTGCACAAAATACCTTTCCCACTTCAAGAAAGAAAAAATGCAAGTGAAATCTAAGTGCACACAATTAATTTTGTTCCTCTCTTTCTAACTATCTACAAATTGGGTTTTGTAACTTTATAATGATGATGACCACACACACACACACCCCTCCACTAAATTTTTCTCCTCCAATGGTAGTTTTTTTAAACATCAAGATCATTCATTTCCTTAATTGAAAGTCTAAATTAAGGCAAACAACACAACCTTCTTTTTTTCAGTTTAATATGTAATATACTTTCATAACCCCCTTTCCTATTTGTTCACTACCCTCTCCATTTGCATCCACAAAGTAAAGGGACAAAGGGAATATTTGTAAAAAGTAGACTGTAAAAAGGTTGACTATAGTAGCATTTAAGAGACTTTAGTAATTACTTGAAATAACTGACTACTGAATTTTTATTTCATGAAAGAGAAAATTGTAACTACAAAAGATAATAAACAGATATAGTGTTCATTTTCTGTTTACTTTTGAATTTAACCAAAATAGAAAAAAAATTTTTCTACTGTTAAAATGCTGTTTCTTTAGGATTTAATATATATGTGTTTATTAGTCATTCTAAACACAAGTTTATTCTAAAACTAAATTATGATAGTATTAGATAAATAAACATTTGTGGCCATTTTAAAATACAGCATTTCATCCTTCTGCAAGTCCCTAAAATAAAGATGCCTGTTTATCAGAAAACCCACTCATTACACAGCAGCAGAATCTCACTAATTCTACAGAGCAAACAAAATTGAATTCAGGCATTTCTCAACAATTCCAACATTAAGCAGGAGCATGCAGGAAAAAAAACCCCATAAAAATCTGCAGTTGTAAATTTATAAGTTATAATATTCCAGTGACTTTGGCTTTATTACATGAAAATTAACTGAAATTTGCTACACAGACCAGGACCAAATAGGCACAAGGGAAGTGATGGAAGTTCATTCTGATGCTGCGCGTGCGTGCTAACTGGACAAAAAAAGGAAAATCTGACTTGGCTGGGGATCACAGTTTTTTAAAAGAGCAACTTGAGTACTAACCCCTTTAATACTTGTTCTAATATTAAGTTTCTTCTTTCATGATTTATTTGTTTTGTCACCAATCCCTACCATGCCTAATTTAATGTTTGAAATTTTAAAATTAAAATCTTTCTTATTGTAAAGTTCTAAATTATATTCAGCCATTTTCTTGTTAGAAGAACTATCCTGAAATGGTCTGATATTTACATTATATAAATCTTCTACTTTGTGCCATTCTGACTTGCAATATCCCATAACATTATTCAATAGGGCATACTCTACCAAATTCATATTTTGTTTTAGTTAGTTGATTTTTATCACAATGAGCAGAAAAACAGCCAGGTGTAAGAAGCTTTTTATTTTAGTATTCATTAAAAGGAAACAGTTCCTCCAGTGAAACAAGACCACGGCAGTTCAGGTAGGATAATTTCTTCTATCTGAGGCTTGTGGTTTGATGAATTCCTTTAACATAGCTGCTGTTACCCAAATTGGTAAGAGATGCTGTTTTTCAAGAGCTTCATGAAAGCTCTTAAAAAGAAGTTTGTTCAATATTAGGATAAGAAAGGCAGCTTTGGGTGGTGGAATAAGACTAGTTTTGTGATTCCAAGGTGCTGTTTGGCGATTCATCACTGTGAATGCTAGTCTTTCCTTTACCAGTTTGGTCAAATAAGAGATTTGGGTCACATGATCTAGAAGGTCTCTGTTGGGTCTGTTAATTTATTAGTCAAGTGGGTCAATATTTACCTATCAATCTTGGCTTTATAAGTATTTTCAAAATTTAAAATCTTCTAAAATCCTAACTTGCAAATATATCAAGTGAAGATTGCAGGAATGTCAATGGTACATTAAAATAAAAGAGATTGTCTGTTTTTAAACATTGTTCAATGTGGCACATCTTTTTTGAAATCTATTGAATAAATCAATAAAGTGTTTTTTTCCCTAAAATTTACAACTGCGGGTAAGGGTAATCAAATGTCTTTCTATTTTTTTCCCCAAATGGCAAATTAATCATAAACAAATTATGTATCACCCACCAACCTGCCCGTTGATTTGCTCCTCGGGTCAGTGTAATAGGACTTTTTCCTGAAAAATAACAGAAATCAGCTGGGGAAAGTCACATGAAAATAGTGAAACCAGTGAGTGACAACATGCGATCATTTTGAGCATTTCAATATTCCAACTTCCACATGCTTAAGAAAGACATGAAATCAACCAGTATAATACATAAAATTTACATTGTTTTAATTTCAAAATCTAAGCTACTAATAACAAAACACTTTCATAAATCAATACATCATTTTAAATATTTGATTTTTCATTCTATTTTTTGAAGGTCTCACTTCTGCTACACGATGCATATTAACTACAGTATCTGTTATACGAAGTCATCCATCTATCCCTCCATCTAAACACATATGTAATGAATATTTCTGATTTTGCAAGGAATGTTAAAGTATAACCTCTAAAAATTTAGAGAATAAGGAGTGTTTCTACTCTTAAAGAGCTTCCTTTACAATTGAGAAGACAAGTGATAGTTATGATAAAATATGCCAATGCAGGAAAGTAGAGTTCTGTGGAAGTACCTAGGAAGGAATCTCCACAAGTTTCTGCAGAGAAGGAGAAAGGAGACAGGGAAACACTCCCAGAGGGTGTGCTGTCTGTGTTGAATCTTGAAGCCTGAGTGGGAGTAGTCCCCTGAATGAGCCTTGAGACACGGCCTTATAGACTGCCTATGAAGTGGTTATGAGACCAAGAACAAACATTGTTGAGATTCAGGAGCTGTGACTAATTAGGTAATCACCAGAGTAGAAATTACGAGTTGAGGATAGTGATAAAAGACGTGGGGGCATGATGAACAAGGCACAGAAAATGAGGAGTCTGACCACTAATGCTCAGGTTTTGGATGAAAAGCAATGGGAAGATATGTGTTTTAAGCAGGTGTGGAACATGTTTTATTTTAGAGAAACTAAAAATTCTAATGACAGAGGTTAATTAATCTCTTCAAAGATTCTCACTACATCCTCATCCTGGAGCTTGGGAACGTCATCCTGAGCCTCTGTATCCCCACTCACGAAACCCATTACAGAGGATCAGTGTGGTATCTAGAAAGCACTGCTGAGAGGCAGGACAATTTATATGTATTCCTGTGCTAACTGCTTAGAAAACTAGAAAACATTCTTAGCTACCCCACTTCATTGCAATCACTGGTCCTATGACTAGAAAATAGTTTTTAGGTTGTCCCGACATACTAACCACTAAATTCAAATTTGAGATTTTAAAGCTTGCTATGTGTCTTCTGAACTCACACTTTAAATTATCTTCCCCCTTCATTTTTTTCAAACATACATTTGTTTGTGTGCATATATCATTCAATCCCGTTGGACTATAAACCCATCTTCACTCTGAACTTCCTCTACATAGACAGACTGTCTTGCACTATTTATCCCATTGTTATACAACTATTCACTGACTATCTTTTGTAGTACATTGAGCTTCTTGAAGACAGTAGTTCTATTTCATTTGACTTTATATGCCCGATGTATACTTGTCACATTATTTGATAAGTGGTAAGCACTAAGATGGCTGAGGAATGAGTGAGCCTTCATTTAATTCAGAGTTGCGATTATCTCCTTCGGTGCCGGAGAACACTACATTCAGTAAACATTTGTTGATAAGATATTATTAGAAAACTACAAAAGTAGAAATTAGTATAATTTTAATATCAAATATCTAGGAATGTGAGTAAGAGGAGAAAAAGGTTATAGTTATAAGTATTGGTCATGGATATAATAAGACATATACAATCAAAGAGCATTTGGATTAAGCACTGCTCTTTTTTGTTGCTATTTTGAAATAGTTTTTTAAACATTTTTTTTAAATTTTGAAATGCCTTGGAACAAATAAAGGAAGAAAGTCATACAAGATGAATATACATATCTTTAAGACCACTACATCATAAGAGCAAATAAAAATTAAAATAAGAGACACAAATTTTCCGATTAACTAACAGCTTGATTACTAATCGAAGCTAGGATGAACTATGTGAAAATTAGTGCTAGTGAGTCCTTTTACTTGAGGACTGGTTATGTTTATCTTGAGAGCATGTCAGTCATGGGTTGTACTGTTTGGCTACATAAAAAGCTACAATTTCTTTATGTTGTTGCAATTTCTTGGCAAATTACCTGTGATGCACATCCCATTCTATTTTAATGCTTATTCAATAATAAAAGTGTTTTCTTTCTTTTCTACATTTGTGGAGCAGTTTTCTGGATTGGGGGAGATTTTGTTTTTAATTATATACCCCCAGCAATATACAAGTGTACACTAAAGCTAACAATCACCTGCCATTCTTAGTTTCCTACAGAAATGAGCCTGCAGAACCAAATCATTTTCTACCCCTAATCCTCCACTCTGTAATTTACTAACTGTGTATTATTCAGGTACAGAGCTTTCTTTATTTTTCCTTTGAACGATGTCTGCTATTTTACACCTTGCATCAGGGCAGCATTTATTTATTTTACCCACTGTTACACAATCGCTCAAAATTATAAGTAAATAATTATGTCAATGCTGTTTCCAACCAGTTTCACACAGCCAAGTAGCCACATGCAGAAATGAATGCAGGGCTAAGAGGGGAGGGAGGTCACACAGATGGGACCCTGGGTCTCTGGCTTCTTGTCAAGCACAAATACTCTACTTTTATTTATTCTGTATATTAGGTTTCCTGTCTGTTTTCATATCATTTTATTTTTGAATAAGGCATCCTTTGCATAAAAAAGTGATCTAAATTTAATCCTAATTGTGATAAAATATTTCTTTTATCTAGAAAAAAGATGGTTCTTAAGAAGTTGAAAATATTCCCCCAAATTTGCTGCATTTAAAATATTTGTAGGGGAAGCTTGAGGAAAGATGGAAGGTTGACCCCACCTTGTAACTCAGCCTGAGAAGCATTTAGGATGACTGAATCATCCTAAAACGTGTTTGACACTTTTAAGGTGAAAGAGAGGTAAGAATGAATAGGGAGCACCTTTGAATTAAAAGAAAAATAATGAAAGCAGGAGTTGGTATTTCTGGAATGTAGACAGTACAGGTTAAGTCCATCCTGACAGGAAAAACATTAAAAAATGTAGAGTATTTTAATTCCTGAAATTCCCTTGGTGAGTTTTGAAACATCAAGTCCAATATTTAGGTTATATTTACTTTAGAGGAATAATCAAGCAAAGAGACAGCTAGAAAATATAGGTATACAGAATTTTACACATACATTCAATCTGATAATTCATGTAAATTGCTCAAGATTCATGTTCATACAAGTCAGCTGAAAACTTCTGCAGGCAGTGTTAAAACTAATATTTTTTCAGAATAAATTTGCAGCTTTTTTGTGGAATATAACATGCATATTTCAATGTTGAGTAAATATGTAGATTAGCCACATTTTTATGTGTAAATCTTTAAAAAGAGATGCATTTTCCTATTTAAGTTCTTTGCTATTTTTGTATATTTAAAGACAGCATATATGTTCTTAAATGTGCTAACAGTTGACAGTTGGAATGTGAATTGGCCACCATGAAACACTTTGCTATGTAGTTTATGCTTGATTAGCTTTCTCTTTTTATGAGCTGAGAACCATCCCAAATTTCAGGAATATCATAAATAAACAAATAGCTGATAACTAAGGCATTAGGCAATGCTGTATCTATTATTTAAGCTCGTCTGGAAATATGTTCCAAAAGAAGTCTGTGTTCCAGCACTCCTCTAGCTATTTTCCCAAGGATACTGTCATATGAAACTTTTAAAAAATTCATTATCAGGTGGGAGTTTGGGGAAGGTTGCTCGGTATAGCTGTCCCTTGAAATTCATAAAAATTATGTAATTAAAATGTTACAATCTCTGAGACAGTATTTCTTTCTCATCTGCATCAGAATCATTTGAGAAGTGTGTTACAAATGTATATACTCAAGCTTATCCTAGACTTAATAAGCCAGAATATCCTGGCGTATGTTCCACAAACCTTTATTTTTACAAAGTTTCTTGGGTGACTTTGATGCACTCTGAAGACTGAAAATGAGGAGCACTTCTATAAAAATTCCTACAGTGAAGAAACATTGTGTAACTCAGAATTCAGAATATCATAAATAAATAGCATATTTGGTCACAGAATATTTTTCTACTGAGCCTGTGGAACCAGCATTATTTTGATACATTTTGAAAAATGTTTCATATTTTCTAATATGTTATTATTAAATCACTATACAGCAATTGTAAACATTATTTAGAAAAACATAGTATAAAGACAAAATTTCAGATACAACATTAATAAGAAGAGATAATAACTGCATAATTTTCATGATTTTTGTATTTCTTTGTTTACATGTCTCAGAACTCCTCTTTCAAATGTATCCTTACCAGGAAATAAAAAAATAATATCATTTTTTTAAAAATGAATATCATAAGACTTATTGATGCCAGCACTTTTAACCAGAGTTGGCCTCTTTCATGCTACCAAGTATGAGAAATTTCTCCATATGTTTGAATTGTGCTTCTGCTGTTCATTCATATTCATTATTTAGAGGCCATTTTTATTGGTATATTGTTACTCTGAACCTTTTAAAACATTCTTAGGAGCTGATGAAGCATGCTGAGCTTAAAATGAATGTAATTGTTCATATCTTCAATGTGAGTTTACACTTTGTATATAATAGGAAAACTACTGAATTTAATTTGGTAAGTGATGGAGGAAAGGAAAACATTCTGCAATATAGGAAATCATGTCTATTTAATATTTGTTGGTCTACAGGAAGGACTGATAAGTCTTTGAACTGAGCAGGCATCTCATTACAATTTTCCTTTGATACTGAGGGCAGAGCTAAGAAACCATCTGGTTGAATTGCATCTGAGGGATGATTCTTGCTAACCACTATCCAGAGAAGAACACCGTATTTGTTTACTTGAGGATAATACTTAAACCTCCTGCCTTCCACAAAAACAACGAGAGTTCTATCCACCCATAAGAAATAAGAAATGAGATTGATCTTGAGAATAATGTTATCAGTTAAAATTTGGAAACGACTTTTTCTCTCGCTCTAGAAAAGTCCACCTAGAAATGATATAAAGTACCTAGGGAGGCAGAAGATTTTCCACATTAGGCAAGCAAATTATAAGGGGAAAAAAGTGTCCCAGATCACCTAACCTTTGGAAGAAAAAGCATTTCCCTTGTTGAAAGAATTGCATTTATTGCTGTAAGGTTTTGCAAAAAGACTGATCTTAATATATATTGAGAGAAAATGAAATAAAATTTCCAAGTACCTGAAGGGCATCCTGATATTCAGCCTCTCTGCATACTTGCACAGCGTGTCCCATGGAATGTGAATTTTAATAAACATGATATCAGTGTTTGCAACAGCTGGCTGAAAAGGAGAGCAGGGCAGGCACCATTATTTATAATCAAAGCTGATGATATCATGGGAAAATTTGATTTGAGATAAAGAACACTGTCCTCTTGTCTACACATGTGCCATTGTCATTAATTTAAAAGTAATTTATATGAATAAAAATTCTTAATATGTAAAAATCTTAAGTAAAAATTTAATAATGCCATCATATACAAGAAGTAATCACCAGTATGACTTAGTGCATTTTCTTATATTGATCGTTATCAAGACCCAGAATCCCCAATGAGAAAAATTATGATCCAGTTAGAAATCTAAAATTATTTTTGCTGGGTAATTTATCAAGTTCCTCCCATTCTTGCTAAGAAGAGATGGACAGTTGCCACCAGTCATTCAGTGTTTCATTCACTTATTCTTTTAGCATATCTAATTGAGTAATTACTACTTGCTAGGTACTATGGAAATCCTGGGAGGAAAATGGAGCAGAACATATACAAGTCCATTACCTTACAAAGCTGTCAAATTTTCGTGGTTATTCTAACCTTTTAGTGCACTCTTTCCCATATAATGAGATTATAAGAATTTCAGTGTCTTTGATCTAGACAAGAGTTTCTAAAGCAGAGTCATATATGTACCAGAATTATCTAAGAAGCTTTTAATAAAATTGCATACCTTGTTCTAATTCTTAAGAATTCTCATAACTGCATCCCATTGTTCTGAATATTTTGCTCAGATCACTAATAGAGGATCAATGATGCCTCTTTGAGCAAATCATCAAGATTCTAACATGTGGTCCAATAGTGTAACACTAGTCTACTAAATAATCTACTACTTTGGCATTGCATATTCTTCACATTCATATTCTACTTTTTTTAAAAAATATATATAGATAGTTATTTTTGGAAGTTCCTACAGTATCTGAGGCCCACAGAGCTAAGAAGTTTGTGGCCACAGGGCTTCTCCTTCCTCTTATTAGAGGAGTGAACATGTATAATGGAAGAAATGCATCTGTTCCCATTTAGACACACGTACCAGGTTAGACACAGCGGGACTCCATTTGGTTAACATTGTTCATTTAAATTTCAACTAGACAGAACTTCTCCAGAAACATACCAGTCTTAAAAACTCAAAAGTATGGAAGAAATTGATCAGTTTGTTTTAAAATTACATATCTTTTAAAATTAAACTGTTCAATTTTATATCCCTCTACTCATAAAGCCCTATATTTTAGATATGGCTAATTTCACAAGTTTGCTAGAACAATATTTTCAATTTGTATCAGCAACATTTTAAAGCAGGGTTATTGGAGAACCATGAGCCATTCATTGAACTAATACTCAGATGTAGAAGATAGCCTCACCACTGATGCTGTACAGCAGGCACTTCCACAGACCAGCCTTTGCCAGAGCTTGTTTCACAGAGTATTATAATGAAAAGAAGTGGTGGGGAGGGGTGTGTATTCCATGGTCAAGTTAGTTCTGGGTTTCCCACTAGAAAACTTCTCAGACATTTCAATATGCATGTGCTTGCTCAACAATACAAAAGGTGAAAAAAGCCTGCTGAATGTCCACTGTTTTGGACCAGGGATTGTTTTTTTTCTCTTCTGGTAGCTTATTGGGGTACCAGTATTTTACAAACCACCGTGGGAAAAACAGCAAAAGATGCTTTCACCTCAGTACAATTTCCAAAGACCTTCCCTATGTGGAATGTTTATTTTAAATGAAGCTAAAGAATGATGAAAACAAAAGTTGGCAAATGTTTAATGAATGTATGGATGTAACTTATTTTGAGTTCATTCTGTGTAACTTGCACCTAAGCAAGAAATAGTGGAGATAAGAAAGAAATTAAGCCAGAATTATTTTGGAAGAGGTGTTACGCGAGGAATCAAATTAGCATCATGAATAAATAGATGGCTTAGGACTGATTAACTCATTTCTATCAAACTCTAAAATGTGAAATAAAATACACCTAAATAAAAGGGATGCTTTAGAGGGATGTTTCTGCATTACTCTACCATAGATGAGTGAAATGTCAAGCTGAGGGCACATAGAGCTAGAACACGTTTAATTTTGTATGTCTTCAAACACATGTAGATCTTTTCAAGCAACATAAATTGCCTTACAGTTTCCTTAAATTAATTTCCTTTTTTAAAATAACTACTTTAAAAAAGTTTTATTTTTTTGTAGCTACTGAGCAGGGGGCTGGTGAAGGGATTATTTGTCAGGGGGAAAAATGACTTTGTTTTGCAATCAAATTCCTAATCTGGCACTATCCTGTTTAACTCTGGCTAAGGCAGGCTTCTCTGAGGGAACAAAACACCCTCTGCCTTCACACTTCACATTATTATTTAATTGTTCCATCCAAAATTCCCAAGAGGTAGAACATTCACTTGAGAGGAGATGGAATTTAAAAATCATTTTTACAAGGTCTCTCTGCAAGTTAGCGTCAAAGAACTGAAAGAAAATAGAATGTGGAGCTCATGGTACTGAGTCCAAGATAACAAGAAATTGCTAATATGATCTGGAAATTAAGTTTGAAAGCAAAGCACCCTCCCTGACAGGGACAGGTCATCTACCTATCCGTGTGGCCTTCAAATATGCATCATTCCCTATTGACATGACCATCTAAAATCTGTTGACATCACCATGCAATTGAATGAGGATTTGAGACCTACTCTGTGCCAGACTCAGTGCTTAGCTTTGGTAAATGTAAATAAATCTAAGAAAATGAGGACTGTTTATTAAGAAATGCTCTCATTTTTCAGTTAAAATCCAATAGTGCAGATATTTTCACAATTTCATTGTCTCTTTTCTGCCTGTCACAAGCCCTAAATATTTTCAATTTATATTGATTAAAATTAAGTTGCCATCAGAGGCCATAAATATTTATGATAATGTAAAATGCTGAATTAGAGAATTCAAATAGATGTAAGTATTTACATACCAGTTAGTCAGCAGTTAACATAAGATTTAAACTGAAAATATATTTAGATTTTATCTTGTCATCATAGAGGTAAGTTCCTTTCTGTTTGCTTAGAAGGACAGTACATTTCTTCATGGTGCTGATATTTTTTAATAGTGTGGCTGGAAGAATTCCTAAACCTTCTTCAAGATCCTCATTCTCCACTGCTGTCCTGGTCATGAACCACCCTGAGGACATGTGAATATAATGAAATATTCACCCGCATGATTAGGTATGTTGTATATTATATTGCTGTTAAGAAAAAGAGATTATCCTTCAAGGCAGATGAGCCCCTAAAAGGAAACGGGCTCCTTCTGGCAAGACAGACTGAAAAGAACAGAGGGACACAAGGAAGATTCTCTATTGTTGGTTTTGAAAATGGAGGAGCTGTGTCATGGGGAAAGGAAAGAGAATGGCCTGTAGGAGCTGAGAACAATACCTGGCTGACAGCCAGCAAGTAAATTGGAACCTTAGTCCTACAACCCCAAGGAATGAAGTCCTGACACAACCACATAAGCTGATGGGGCCTGTAGTTCCAGGTGTGAATAGAGTCTGGCCAACACACTGATTTAAGCCTTGTGAGAAACTGAGCAAAGAACCCAAGTACGTCATGCTCTAAGCTTTGACCTACAGAACTGTGTGTTAATAAATGGGCTTTGTTTTAAGCTGCTGAATGTGTGGTAATTTGTTAAGCAGCAATAGAAACTCAACACAAAAGCAGTGTTAAAAATCTTAATTTGAAACCTTAAGGCAATCATTTTTATGATATAATGTTAACATGCTTTTTGTAGAAACATGTTTTGGTTCAGTGATACTGAATTTGTCATAGCAGGTTGATTTCCTACACTAACATTGGGGTAATTAATCTAGTCCTAATTAACTCAGCTATTAAAAAATCAATGTCATTCCTTTTAGAATTAAAAACATAAGATAAACCTTTGGTAAAAATATCTTTCACAAATGAAAGAAATAATTGTAGAAAATTCACTTTAAAATATAATTCAGAAACCTTCATTTTCCTTGCATTATACCTGATATTCTATTACTCTATCTTCCTTTTCACCTTGACCCAAAAACCTTTAAATTTTTTTTATCTCATCTGTTTTCTGTTTCCTCAATTTTTCTCCTTTCCCTTCTCTCCCTGTTTCCCTCCTTCCATCTTTCTTTCCTGGAGACAGAGACAGAAAGGGAGGGAGAGAGGGAAGAAGGGAAGGAGGGAGGGAGGGAAGGTGGGAGGGAGGCAAGAAGGGAGGAAGGCAGACAGGAAGGAAATTAAGCAAAATTTGTCAAGATCTCTTTTCCCTCATTAGCTATTGCTTTTCTTCTTCCCATTTACAGACAAGCAAGTTGATGGTATTTGTAGATGCCTCTATTTTTTTCATTATTTGCTCACTCTTCTACTAATGACAATCTAGCTTGCAAGCCCTAGAGAAATGATTCCATTGCTTTTACCAAAGATCTCCATGTTGTCCAATGGAATAGGCCTCTTCCTTGTCTTACTAGACTTTTCAGTAGTAATTTACCCAGACAACCACTCTTCTTCCCTGTGACTCCTCATCTTTTCCTTTTCCTACCTACTTCCAGCTCCTCAAGTGACTTTTCTCCTCTTCTATGTTTTACAGGCTTATTCTAGGGCTCATTTTTCCCCCTCACCCCTATAGCAACTTTTGTCCTAATAAATTAATAAATAACTTCTATTACCATCTATATTTACTTTCAGTTCAGATTCCTCACTTGAGTTCTAGGCAGAAATTTCAAACATTTCTACTTGTATCTCTCAAAGTTACCTCAGTTACTAGTTTATGGTTTTCATTTCCATAATCCCATCCAAACTTCTCCACAGATTAGCACTCTCCTAGTCAACGGTAGTTTTATATCAGGTATTTCTTCTGCAGATGGCATTTGGCCCCTTTGTCTTCCCATGGTGTACTCCTCCCCATTGATATCACTTTCTTTCAGATCACACGTGCTAACGTAGCTACCTAGTCACACTCCCTATATAACATTCTGTTTGAATTATTGAGTAATGCCCTTCACTATGTCATTTTCCTTATCTGTTCATGTTTATTCTCCTTCCATGAAAACATGGCACATTCTTATCATAGTTCCTATTCATCCCCAGAATACCGCATGCATGGGTGCCTCACTTATGCTTGTTGAATGAACAAAGAAATGACTCAAGCCAGAAACCCATGTTATCCTTAAGATTTCCTTTTCTTTCCTACCATATCCAAATCACCATCAAGTATCTATAGTTTATCTTCAATAATAAAATGTGAATGTGAATTGATAGAACCATATTTGTTGAACCCAGAATTCAGGGACAGTGTTATACATGTGGACACTGGCTTGCTGAGAGCCAGTCTAGACCAAAAACAGAAAAAAAAAACCCACAAACAGAACAAACATACATCTTTCAGCAGAGACTAAAGAGCAAAACTTCCGGAATGAATGGATTTCTTTTTAAAAGCAGAACAGAACCCCTTTGAGATGAATGACACTCAGGATTATTGGCGGGGCGGGGGGGGGGGGCGTGGAGAATCTAGAGGGATAAGGGAAAGGAAGACTTAAAAGAGAATCTAGACATTTTGCCAAGAAAAGTGGATAATGACTATGAGCTGATTAGTTAGTTTTCATGACTGACTTCTACACAGACTGGGAGTTAAGTGAAGGCAGGTACATGGTCTACTTTACTCATTGGATCCCCAACAGCTGGCACGATACCAGTCCAAATTGCAGAAATAACAAATAACTGGAGATATTTGAGCAAAACAACTACCAGTATTTTAATAGAATGTGTTTATAAACTGCTCTGGAAACAAATGAGGAAGTAATTGATTCTTGTGGTATAGGGAAGAAATTACAAGGAAAATAAATGAAGAAAAGCCCATCAAAAGACTTAGTTAATAAATTTTCCAATAAATATTTCTTGATTACCAGTGATATGGATATTCTGGATTAAAAATCCTGGAAGAGGCATAAAAAAGGAATCACAATAAAGGAGTCAATAGAATTTGAGATCAGAAATCCATTTAACCAATTCTGTAACTATAGGTTACATGTGAATAAATCCTCACCTTGAACAGTTTCAAGGCATTGCATGATTGTTATTTTATGCATTTTAAAATTATTTTAATAACTAAAACTATGTTTGTTTTTCTACATTTCCTAATGTATATTCCTCAGAAAACTAATAGCAGGAAATGTTCTGTGGGGAAAGAAAGGAGGGGGTTCTAATGTTACTTAAATATTGGTGGGTACTCTATTCATTGATAAGAATATTAGACAATTATCTAAATATTTAAACAAATAAACTATCAAAGCTTTTTTTTTGCCTGCTCTGTACCATTTTTATAAGAAAACCATTAACTATCATTGGTTATAATTTAGAGGTTCCTCCAACAGCTTATTTAGTTTTTTTTTCCTCTCAGTGGACTGACCATTACCTGATTTCAAGAGTTACTCTAAAGCTACAGGAGAGGTATTGGTGAATAAATAGACAAGTAGATCAATGCAACAGAATAGTGAGCCCAGGAACAGACCTGCATAATATCAACCTGACTTATAAAAGTCAACTGATCTTTAACAAAGGAACAAAGGTAATACAATGGAGTAAAAACAGTCTTTTAAACAAATGGCTGTAGAACAGCTGGAAATCTGCAAGCAAAAAGAAAATGAATCTAGCCATAGACCTTACACTTCTCACAAAAATTTAGTAAAAATAGATCATAGAATTAACTGTAAAGTAAAAAACTGTAAAACGCCTAGGGGAAAAAAAACAGGAAAATACTTGTATGACCTTGGGTATGATAATGTCTTTTAAGATACAACACCAAGTGCACTATTCATTAAAGAAATAATTATAACACTGGACTTCATTAAAATTAAACCTTCTGCTCTGAAAAATACAAAGTCGAGAATGAGAACACAAGCCACAGAGCTGGGAGAAAATATTTGCATAAGACACATCTGATAAAAGATTGTCATCCAAAATATATGAAGAACTCTTAAAACTCAATAATAAAAAAAACAAACAACCCAATTAATAAATGGGCCAAAGACCTTAACAGTCACCTTATCAAAGAAGATACATAGATGACTAATAGCCATATGAATATTTGATCCACATCATTTGTCATCAGGAAAACTAAACTAAACTATATTAAAATAAAATAAAATGTAAAATAAAATAAAATATAAAATAAATAAATTAAATAATTAAAATAAAATAAAACACCATTACACAACCATCACAAAGGCCAACAACCAGGATACTGACAACAGCCAGTGCTGCTAAGGATGTGAAGCAACAGGAACTCTCACTCATTGCTGGAGGAAATGCAAAGTGGTGTAGCCATCCTGGAAGGCAGTTTGGATGTTTTTTACAAAACTGACTCTCATCATATCATCCAGAAATGCAATCCTTGGTATTTACCCATAGGATGTACAATAGATGCTTTCTTCATAATTTGCAAAACATGTAAGCAACCAAGGTGTCCTTCAGTACATAACAGGTAAATAAACTGTCGTATATCCACACAATAAAATATTATTCCACACTAAAAAGAAAGGAGCTACAAAACTTAAATGGATACTTCACTGTGAGAAATGCCAATCTGCAAACTCTATACACACTGTGATTCCATTATATGACACTCTGATAAAGGCAAAACTATGCAGAAAGCAAAAGACCCAAAGTGGGGGATATTGGAGGGATGTCCAGGTGAACACAAACAATTTTTAGAGCACTAAAGTGCTCTGTATGATCCTGCAATGTGGATCCATTTTTCACACATGTCCAAAGCCAGAGCATGTAGAACTTTAAAAAGGAACATTAATGTAAACTATGGACTCTGAGTGATAATGACAGGTCAATGTAGGTTTACCAGCAGTGACACATGTACTGCTTTGGTAGGAGATGTTGATAGTGGGGGAAGCATCACATGTGAAAGGGGCCAGGGTATGTACAAATCCTTGTACCTTCATCTCAGTTGTGCTGTGATCCTAAAACTGTTCTAAAAACAGTTTTTAAAAAAGCATAAAAGAAAAAGGATTAGGAAGACAGTCACTCATTTTTCCAATATTAAAACCCCAATACTAACAGTGTGGCAAACTCTCTTCTTTCAATATTATCTTTTTCTTTTCATAGGGTTTTGTACTTTACAGTGGTATAATTATTCCTTCTTCAATTTAAAACATACTAAGATAGTTATGCACTTTGAAAAACATTTAAATTTACAGAAATGTAGAGTAAAAAAAGAATACACATTTAAGTGGGACTACGCATAGTATGTATTTCTTCTACATTTGGGAGAAAATACCTATCCACTTTGTAAAGCCATGTGCGACATACTTTTCATATTAAAATATAAAAGATCATCTCCCTTCCAGCATATTATATAACATAGTTAATGTTATTAAAACACCTACCTCCTTTTCCAACATCAAGCCTTCTGCTCTCAGGTTTTTTTCAAATGTGTTTCTCTTGTCATATTGTATATTTGACTTCCTATAAACCAGAATGTAATCAATCCGCTTTTTGCCATCTTTAAATAGAAGTCCACTGGATGCTATGTAATTCATGTCATTCTGCAAAGAAAACAATGATTGTTAATAGTGTGGGTGAGACAAGCACACAGTTTGGGTTTCAGTCACTTCTTTGGATAATGGCAATCCAATATCAAAAAAAATGTGTTTTTATATTCTACGATACGGAAAGATGATTTAAAAAATTGTCAGTCTATTGGAGGAGACAAGCTAGGAAGTAATGGAACACGATTTGAAATTAGGAAATCTAATACCAGAACATGGGTTCTCTGATGCTGGCATCTAAATGCACATGTTATTCTATATAGCTTTGTAAAACATAAGTTCAGCTAACCTATGTTGAGTATTTACTCAACATCAGGCCCAGACATAAGTGGTTTATGTTTTAACTTATTTAATACACACAACTTGCATTTCAAAGATACAGATACTATGGCTTAAAAATATAAGTGCTGAGAACTGAAACAAACATTATTTTCTATATTAAACAATATTTAGGCCAGAAATAGTTTTCCTAAATCTATGTTCAATGACACTAAACCAAACAATAATCCCTGAGCTGCCTGCTCCAAGAAATACTTGCTCCCAGAACATTAGACAGTGATCCAGTTAAAACAGTACACTTAACACCACTGCGTGAAGGCCCCAACCTCGCTATGCTCACTCGAGTCTGCTCTTTTGCACAGACTGCCTCATTTTCTACTGAAATTCTGCTTTGTGAGACTTAACTGAAAATCTCTCAGACCAGGTCCTAGAACTGTTTGAGAACTCTTTCCTTACTTGACCTTTTAAAAAAACACTACTAAGACTATCCATGTCGTATCCTTATTTGCTCTAACTTTAATAAAATCAGCATTAGTGATCACCAGATTTTCATGATAGTCTCCTGAGAGAAGGGGTTTTACCAGTATCTTGCCCAAGATCACTGAAGAGCCAGGACTTAAGTCCTATTTGGACTCCAGTTTCCATGTTCTTGGCCACTGTAGATATTGGCCTTCTTGCTTCATATTTTCCATCAAACTACTTGAACCTCTGCACCAACTCTTTACTCCATTTTTCCCATAAAGGTATTCTTCAGATCCAAAAACTTTCCTGACATGTGGAGAGCTATATGATAACTTTTACTTAAGTCAAGGAACAGAACTTCACCCGCTCCTACAGAAGCCCTCTCTCATAATCGTGAAGCTCTCTGCATCTCCCTCCCCTAAGGTAATCATAATCCTATCATGTAAGGGACCGCTTTCCTACCTTCTTAGTTTTATCACCAAAGGTTGTATCTTTAAACACTATATTTAGTTCTGTCTGCTATCAAATATTATGTACATGTAAATATAAAATGACTAATATTTTGTGTCTGGCTGTTTTCATGTAATATTATGATCATGAAATCTACTCTTAAATTTTATATATTTGTAGGTCACTTTTTCGTTGTTTTATCATATGAGTACAACAAAACCTTATTTATGCTTTCCACTAATTGTATTATATATCTGGGCTATTTCCAGTATTGGTTATTACATATAAAGCTATAATAATCACATATGTGTGCATCTTACAATATACATGTGCATCCATTTGTATCAAGTCTGTCACCTAGGAGAAAAATTGCCGATTCACAGGAAATGCTTGCTTTCAACGTCAGTAGGTAATGACAAGCATTCTAAATCAATTTAAATCTCTACCAGTAGTACTTAAGTTTCCCCTGCTTCATAACTCCATGACATCTTCACAAGTCCTCCACAATGTGTTCTGCTTACTATTCAGCAGGCAATAATGCCACACTGACATTGAAAAATAAAACTGTTTTCAGATTCACAAAACAGTCCATCACAAAAGAAGCCAATTAGTGCCTTGTCATAGAACCAGAGCAGGCTCCCTCAGAGGCCCAGCAAGGTAATGGTGGACATGGGGCTTGGGGCAAAGAAGAGAGTGAAGTCGCTGATTGATTGTTCTTTGGCACAACAACTTAGGCTGAAAACAGAATTCCAAAACCAGAAAAGAGCTTCTTCTCCGGTAGTAGCCTAAGAGCAACCTGTCCTACCTGGGATTTCCATGGTGATTTACTTCATCTTGCTTTTACTTGACACTCAGTGGACATGCAAGCTTTGTGGTTCTGTGCAGCTCCCAGATGAAGGAATGAGGTTTTGAAGATGCAGGGATGTGCCTCTCAGTGCTTAAGCTTTGGGGGAATGAATGCACAGGAAGAAAAAAACCATTACCCCCTCCCTTGACCTAGAGGCAGGTGCAAAAGGATCCTGCAGTCTCACCTGCTTGTAGGATATGTAATTTACAAGGCAAAACTATTTGCTCCAAGACATAGTTTCAAAATAGCATATATTGAAAGCAAAGCAGTAACAAAGCACCAGAAGCATTCCAGACCTTATGCCAATCTCAACCTCCATCTCATTCTTGAGTTTCACTCTCCCAGGAAGAAGGCTTTTAGAGGAATAGAGACACTTGGGAATGAGTAGAACTTAAGATGCCTGTTCTTCCTATCGCTTGATAACTTCACAACATTGAGACTTTCACAGCTTTTTAAAACACATCATATTAAAATTTTAAGAGCTTTAAAAATAACTGAGCTGCCAAGTGAAAGAAGGCAGTCTAAATAGCAGGAGGCACGAATCATTTAGGCCATCCCAGAGTCTGTCTATCATGGTAAGGTTCATGAATTATATAAAATCAAAGGACTGGTTTGAAAGATTAAAAGGTTGGTTTAGAAAAGAGATCTCATGGAATACTGTATGAGGAAAGGAAGGCTTATGGTCTCATTCACCAAAATCCTCACTAGAACTACTGGGGGATTATTTACCAGTTTGGAAAATGTCAGAACAGGGGAAATAAGAAAGAAAAAAAGAAGGAAATGAAGGGACCTGTTTTTTTTTTTTTTTTTTAACTCCTGGTTCTATCTCAGCTAAAGTCTCTTTAGACAACAAAGCTTTCCTCTCCATTGTTCAATTTCCCTGCCACGAAGCAGTGTAGGTGCTAATGCAAGTAAAGGCCCTTGTCGCTCTGGCATTCCATGATGCTCTTCTTTTCCCCACGTGTTTCTCCAGAGGCTGTTTTCTAAGATCTTTCAAATCATTCAACTAACCCTGGTGAGGGTTTTTATGTCTGTAAAGAATGATGCTCACATAAATATCTGGCAGCTGAATTCACTCTCTGAAGTTCCCCAAAGGTCTTTTCAGGGAAAACTGGGAGCGACAATTGAGATGTTTTACTCCTGCCTGAGTAAGCACCTTTAACATCATGAAGGAGAAAACAGGCGACAAGGGCTTCTCTTATTCCAAAATAAAGAGCAGTCTCTGCTCTAACTCAATGTTATCAAATTTCACGTATCAACTGGAATACAAAGCGCATACTTTGGCATGTGGCATTCTTTTATGACCACCGAAATAAAGCCTGGAGGGGAAAATGCACAGATGGAAAAATCTCCCTGATAAAATGTGCATGAAGTGTGAGGGGCAGAGCATAAAAGCAAAAGCAGGGTTATGAGTCCAGCAACATGGCAACAGCACACCAAAACACTCCTGCCATAAAACACCTAGAAATGGTTGATCAAATAAAACACATGTATTTTGAAATTCATAGAGAAATGAGCAGGAAGACATCTAAAATTCTAGTTGCCAGGTTATGTAAAAAGGCAGAAAACCAGAAAACATGCAGGCAAGTTGATAGTGTCACTGCTCTGGGCAGAACTAAAAACCCAAACCAAAAAATAACAGTAATGAAAACATACTTATAAGTTTAAAAATAAGACATATAAGTAATAAGCCAAAAAAATAACATTCAATGAGAAGAAGAAAATATCTAAAGCTAAAATATGGTCTCTTTACTAAATTATGCTGTTCAGATAAACTAGATATATACATATGTATATGTATATATACATATATAAATTAGTTTGACTTCTTTGGACTTTATACAAACATTAATTTTAGTTCAGTAATAAACATATACATCTATGGTCAATTGCCTTTCAACAAGATTGCTAAGAAAATTCAATTACAAAAAGAGCCTTTTCAAAAATACAATGCACAACTGTACATATATTCATGTGCAAAAGAAGTTGGATCCCTACTTAAACCACACACCACAATTTCCTCAAAATGAATCATGGACCTAAATGTAACAGAAAAAAAAACTGCAAAATTATTAAACTATAAGATTTTAAGTAAGTTTTTGGGACCCAGGGTTAGGTAATGATTTCAGATATAAAACTAATAGCGCAAATAACAACAACAACAAAAGATAACTAGGACTATATAAAAATTAAACATGTTTGTGCTTCCAAAAAGTACTATCAATAAAAGGCAAATCACAGAATGAAAAATAAATACTTAAAAAACACATATTTGATTAGGGACTATATCCACAATATACAAATAACAGAAACACAAATAGCTCAGTTAATAGTAAGTAAAGGTTTGAACAGAGATTTCATCAAAAGGATACACACGTGACCAACAAGCACATTCAAGGTTTCTCAAAATAGTGAAAATTATTAGGGAGATAGTGTTTCACACCCACTGTGATGGGTAAAATCAAAAAGACAAAATTGAGTCAGCACTGGCATGGATGTGGAGACCCTGGACACTCACACATTACTAGTGGAGCTGTAAAATGGTACAGAAGCTTTGTAAACAGTTTGGCGATGACTCATAATGTTAAACATAGAGTTACCATATCACCAATGTAATACTTAGGTATATAAAGAAAGTAACTGATGGTATGTATTGCCAACCATAAAATTTGAAAATGATGTCAGCAGATGGTCACATAGGAATTTCCAATGTATACATCCAGGAAAAATGAGAACACGTGCGTACAGAAAAACTTGTACATGAACATTCATAACAGCATTATGCATAATAGTAAAAAAAAGGAGCAATACAATGTCTATCCTATGAACACATAAAAAAATGCAGTATATCCATACAATAAAACATTGGTTGACATTAAAAAGTAATTAGGGATGAGGTGGCCAAGTGGTTAAGGTGATGGACAGCTAAAAACTAATTAAATATTCACACATACTACAC